CACTAAGTTACACACTTGGGATAGACAAACTAGCCCCTTAACTTGACTCGGTGTGGTCCTACATCTACATCCTCATTAAGATGCCTTAAACTAGGCCTAGGAATGCCTATGATGAAATGAGAATGCAAAGATATACTTTAAAATACTTTTCAAAATTTTCAGAAAACAGGGGTCTCGCTCGAGCGTGGACTTCCTCACTCGAGCGGTCTGTAAAAATGCAAAAAGTGCTGGATGTTGAAAATTTTCGCTCGAGCGTGAGACACAGCCCTCTCTCGAGCGTAGGTTCCTTCGCTCGAGCGTGCGTCTGCGTGCACCAAAAACCTGAGAGCTTTCAATTTACGTTCGAGCCATCATTCCTTCGCTCGAGCGGAGCTCTGAACAAACGATGGTCGCTCGAGCGTGGAATCCTTCACTCGAGCGAGGAAGCCAAATTTTGGAATTTCTAAATTTGCCTTCAAAGCTCAAACTAAGCATTCAATACCTCAAAACTCAACCTCTTGGGCCCATTTCTGGGAAAACACTTTAAACCCATAATATAACATGTTTTGAAGATCAATTTATAAAGTCAAAGCCCATGGGTGAGTCAATTGAACACAATTTCAACAATAACTTCAAGAACATGATGAACATATGATATGCATGTTTTCATCTGAATTCAAAGCTTCTAATACAAGATCAAATGAGTCTAAACTTCCAAAAACAAGATGAATTCATGAGCTATGACTAGAGTGTAGACATGCATGTAAGAATTTCCATGAAAACAACCTCAAAACTCACCAATGTGTACATGCATGCATGATTCAAGTTTCAATTCAACAATTTAAAACCAATTCTAGACTTAGATCACTAATGGCTCATAGACCATGCAAGATACAACTAGAATTCAAGTTCAAGAAGATGATTCTCCTACCTTAGGTCTTCAATTCTAGGTATGAAAGCTCAAATATGCAATCTCTCTTCAATTTCTTCTAGTTCTCAAGCTAAATTTGATGAATTCAAGTTCTTTCTCTCACTCTCCTCTCTCATACAGTTTGTCTAAGGAAATGGCTGAAGGAATGATGCCTCAAATACATAACATGGAGGGTAAACAATGACCAAGGATTGTCCACTAAGTAGCAATTTCGTAAATAACTTGAACTAATGCGATTTAGCTCCATTTAATCTAATTTAATCATACCAAATCAAATTTCAATTAAATCTACCATAAAATCACATAAATTCTAATTAACATATAACACTAATCAATTTCAGATTCGGCCGCCGATAAGGCCTTCAATTTGCAGTTCAAAGCTTAAAACATGAACAGATCAATTAAGTAATCAAACAGATAGAAGTGCGATCAAACAACCTACTCATGCAATCAATTCAGAATTTCAGTCAGATCAATCACTTATCATGCTTAATCACAGATTAGCACTAATCAGAGGTGAGGGTTGTCACACTATTAAATCACTTTTCCTCAGACTTTGTTGTGCCGGAAAGATAAGAGAGCAATATTTTCTCGTAACTCCACATTTAACGTCTTGTAGCTTTATTTGGTACATGAATGGATAACTGGAAAGAAGTTGCATGAAGGATGGTTGAAAAAAGAAAGGGAAATCCTTCTTCCATTTGTCTAGTTGAGACAAAAGGGATGACGAAGGCAAGGGGTCTGTCTTTTTTAACTTTTCCACCCTGATGTATTACTATGAACGTGTCGTTGGAAGAGACAAATGCAAAAAAGAAAGGTACCGTTATTTTCTTTCCCACGTTTAATTTTTGATAGATTGAAAATGGTGGACCGGGGTGAATATGCTCTTTTGCTATGTTTGCACTCCCTTCCCTTTTCCTTCTAACTAAACAAAGAATCTGTCTCCATTAAGGAAGGAAAGCATGTTGTCTTTCACCTATGTTACCAGAAAACGCTAATACCCTAGCGAATTACGTATTGGTACGCACGTTCTGAAACATGGTACACTCCCATTTCAAAATAGTATATTTAGTGATCCAAAACGATCCCAAAAGTTTTTTTTTTCAATATATGTCCTTAAATGTTATCTTAGGAGGAAAAAAAATCAAATATAATGAACTAAAATCTAAGGCGAGTTAAGTTTCGATAAGAAAAAAAATCAAAAAAATAGGTCATAATACTCATAGAAAATATTACATTTTATTGGAGGTCTAATAATTTTAAAAAATTACTCTAGAAATACCTTAAATTCTTAAGTATAATATATGCAAGCATACCCCTATTGTACCACATTTTAGAGCATGTGGCGTACCATGTTCCAGTTCCCGTTTCACGTATCGGAACGATCCACGTTCCGGGTAACATAGGTCTTTCACGTGTTGGTTTGGTTTAGTAGGAAAGAAAGAAAAGTTAAAGTTAATTGTGTTACTTTATTTTACCATTATATTGACATGAAGATGTTTGTGTGGCAATGATATGAAAGAAAAACACATTATTTTCATCTTTACTCACTTTTGGGGAGATTGAAAATGGTGGGACACTAGAGATTTTCCTACACTTCCCTTCTCCTTTCCCCTTTTCCGCTAAATGGAGGAAACTGTCTCTGTCCGCTTCATTTATTTCATTGCGCATTAAGGAAAAGAAAGGAAAGGGGAAGCTTAGGGATGTTCGTTTATTTTACCATCATAATGTCAAATATTGATAGCATGGTTTTTGAATGACGAAAAACAAAAAAGTAAGAGATAATCTTCTCATTTGTTCCTCTCCTTCCACCTCTAGGTAAAATGAAAAATGGTAGCCAGGCTGAACTTGCTCACCTTCAAGTTTTCCTTTTTCCTTCCCCTTCAATTTCTACAAAACTAACAATACTCCTTTATCCTTCCCACTTTCCTCCTCCTAATGTTCCCTCATATCAAACAAAGCCCAATGACAAAAAGACCTTAAAATATAAAATAAGAAAGAATCCTTACTCGTGTGTTACCACCACTTGCATTACTAGAAACATCAATATTGCATTCTACCCTACACATGTTAGATCCAGAAGTCTAGGTTAGATCCAACAGAGCAATGATTAAAATGGGACTCGTCCAACTGATATACTAACTTAAAGCATTAAATGGAGCATGACTTCAACTCATGCACTAAGGGCACTGGAAGCATTGCTGGAAATTAAGCTTTTAGTAGTGTTTAAAAAACGCATCTATAGCTATCAAAAACGTTGCTAATTGTTTTTGTGGCATTTAGTACCAAACGCCGAAGATTTGGTTGTCACTATAACTTCATGACGCTTTAAAAGTGTCGCTATATTAGTATAGGCGGCGTTTTTTAAAACGCCGGTAAATGTGCTGCATAACGGTACAATGACGTCACGCCACATTTGGCGACGTTTTAAAAACACCGTGATAGATCTTTTCTATTTTAAAAATATAACCATTGGTATTCTATAGTGGCGTTTAAAAATGCCGTTATAGCTTTTTGTTTTTCTTTTTAAATAAAAAAATAGTGCTAATTTTGTGAGATTTAACTAAAAAAAAATACTTGTTATAAAGATAAAAAAATATTCAATATATTGACTAAATTTAGGTAAACACACTACAACAAAAGTAACCTATGGTGACGAAAACTAGTGAAGAAAATAAAATTCGTCACTAAATGAAAATAATTCGTGAGGAATTTATAAATTTTGTCACATATAATAAAAAAATTAAAATGATAGGTGACAAAATTTATTTTCGTCAATAAATACTTCATTTTAAGTGAGGAAAAATTTAGTTTCGTCACCAAAAATTTTCCCGCTATTTTTTTTGGGTGGCGCCAAAATTTTGAGACTTTTGGTGACAAAAAAATTTGTCACTAATTATAAAATTATTTGTGATGAATATATTTTCGTCACCAAAACATTTTAATATTTCTGATATCTTTTGGTGAGGAAATAATATTGTCACCAATTTTGGTGAAAATTTTTTGATATATTGAGCAGCAATAAAAAAAAAGGTATTAATTTTTTTTACCCTTTTTCTGTTTATCATCTCTCTCTCTCTCTCTCTCTGTCTCTCTCAAAATAGGGTATTAATTTTTCTTACCTCTTGCTCCTCCACTACGCCGATTGCCATCGTTGCCTCTATTAGTCTTGCAGATCGCCACCGCCAGTAGTAGCCTTGCCGGTAACCGTCACATCTTCTTCGCTCGATGATTTGGTACATGGTTTCTCTTTGCTCTTTTTCTTCCTCTCCTTCCACCTCTAGGTAAAATGAAAAATGGTAGCCAGGCTGAACTTGCTCACCTTCAAGTTTTCCTTTTTCCTTCCCCTTCAGTTTCTACAAAACTAACAATACTCCTTTATCCTTCCCACTTTCCTCCTCCTAATGTTCCCTCATATCAAACAAAGCTCAATGACAAAAAGAACTTAAAATATAAAATAAGAAAGAATCCTTACTCGTGTGTTACCACCACTTGCATTACTAGAAACATCAATACTGCGTTTTACCCTGCACATGTTAGATCCAGAAGTCTAGGTTAGATCCAACAGAGCAATGATTAAAATGGGACTCGTCCAACTGAGATACTAACTTAAAGCATTAAATGGAGCATGACTTCAACTCATGCACTAAGGGCACTGGAAGCATTGCTGGAAATTAAGCTTTTAGTAGTGTTTAAAAAATGCATCTATAGCTATCAAAAACGTTGCTAATTGTTTTTGTGACGTTTAGTACCAAACGCCGAAGATGTGGCTGTCGCTATAACTTTACGACGCTTTAAAAGTGTCGCTATATTAGTATAGGCGGCGTTTTTTAAAACGCCGGTAAATGTGCTGCATAACGGTACAATGACGTCACACCACATTTGGCGACGTTTTAAAAACACCGTGATAGATCTTTTCTATTTTAAAAATATAACCGTTGGTATTCTATAGTGGCGTTTAAAAATGCCGTTATAGCTTTTTCTTTTTCTTTTTAAATAAAAAAATAGTGCTAATTTTGTGAGATTTAACTAAAAAAAAATACTTGTTATAAAGATAAAAAAATATTCAATAGATTGACTAAATTAGGTAAACATAATACTAGATCAATTCATGCTTCTTAATATGCAAAAATATTTCAATTCCAAGATGAAATAAAGTTAAACTAGTGCCTAGTGGTAAGTTGAAAGTTATTACAAAACAGATCGGCACAAAAGATACAATTCAAACTAATTATACATATAGATACTATGAAAGCATCTACTAAGAAACAAAAATTCCCCATTCAAGCAGCTCTTTGCTCGTGTCATCCTTGTGAACAATCACTTCTATGAAGCACAGACAATCACTCTTAGCACCCATTGCTGTATCAATTGCCTCGATAAGCTCTTCCTCGTAGCGCACTTGCAACAGTAAGTGAAAGAAATGGTTTTTGTGATCAGCCATCATCCCATTTAATGCATCAAAGCGAATGCAGTTAAGCTTCCCGACTCACCTTTGCCGTCCAGCACTTGCCTTCACCATTGTGGATTGTATCGACCAAACCAGTGTAGTTCCAGTTCTTGATCACATTGTAAGGCCCGTCATGGATCTCAACTTCTATGGTGTATCCCCCATTGTTTATAAGGAAGATGATGGTCCTCTGTTTACATCTCAGCATTGTTGACACATCTTGTGCTGTCACCCGCCAAGCATTCACCAAAATAAGTGTTAACAAGGACAAATTCAGAACAGTGAATCCCATTACTGCAATCCCTTAAGTTTATAATCCTTCATATTGTGCATGCTATGTGACATATGATGAAGCTATACAAATATCAACGTAGGAAGTATATCCAATACAGTATTCATAAGATTAGGAGAATTTATAAAAATCAAGACTATATTATATACACTGAAGATTGAAATGTATGCATAATTACCTGGAAGCTACCATCACCAATGGAAGCAATCGCTCGCTTATTTCGTGCAACCTGTGCATATCCAAGAGTCGCACCTACATCCCAGCCAATTGATCCATATTGCATCTGGAGCTCATACCTGCAAAACCTAATTTCATAATATTTTTTGTATCATAAAGCATAATAAAACCAAAAAAAAATGCAACATTCTCTCCACAACTTACCAGCATCCCTTAGGAACTTTAGGTAGCGTTTGGTAGAATTTTCTAAATATGATTTGAGAATAGATTTGTATTTTGAGTTTGTGAGTTTTGAAATTATGATTTGAGTGTAGAAAATTTGTTTGGTTATGAGTTTTGAAAAGAATTTTAAATTGAGTTTTGGTTGAGTGTTGAATTGAGTTTTTAATGTTTGATGTGACATGTGAAATAAGAAAATTTGTTTGGTTATGAGTTTTGGAAAAAGTTTTCAAAACTTAATTCAATTTGTTATAACTCGTAACCAAAAATACTACTCAAAACTCTATTGAAAATTCTGATAAATAAGCAAACTCTTTTTAAAATTCAATTAAAAAAATTAATTATTAACAGAAAATAACATCAGACAATTTTTTTAATTGAAAATATTAGTAAGGCAATAATTTTTTTTTCAAAATAAATATTCAATTACTGATTTAAAATAACTTTTGATTGTATATTTGGTTCGAATTTTTTAAAAATATTTTTCAGTTAAAATATTTTTAATAATTACTGTCACAAATTATTTGCTATTATTGTATTGTTATTTTCAAATAAATGGCCAAAAAATTTATCAGGTATTATGTATGTGAGAGCCAAACAAAAATTAGAATATTATTTTGTTAGCATCTACACAGTTTACCACACACAATTCAATTTTATTCAAATTTTTTTATTCGCTTTCAACAGAAAATTAGTCTACAATAGCACAAACACATGTATGTATGTATGTATGAAAGAGTTACCAATTTATTTCTTTAAAAAAAAAAATTAAAAAGACACTATAGTGGTCAAGACATCTGGGGGATGTCCTGGGAGATGTCTTGGGGATGTCCCATAGACTCAAAATATTCAAAAACTGTATGAAAAGGTGAGAGTTTTGCATTGAAAGTTTGTTTTGAAATGAGCTCTGCCAAACGTGAAATAGAAATATATTTTGAAATATGTGGTGGAATTAATTTTTGAAAACCTTATCCAAACACCTTGTTCACGTGAAGAGGTGAAATTGTAATTGAAAAGCTATACCAAACACAGCCTTAGTTTCTCGCAATTAAACCAATGTCATTGTGGAATGTTCATCCATTCATAATCGCAATCAACGGTTGTTAGCCCTACGAGAAATAATATATTGGGTTTTTTTTCTTTTCTTTTTTGGAGTGGACTATATACCAAAAAAAAAAATAAAAAAATCATGAATCCAATAGAAAATAGTACAAATTATTTAGGAATTTAAGGTTATCTTTCAAATTTCAAGAGTCCCCCTAACGCATCATCCACTGTTGTAATCAATATATATGCTGTTAAATTGTCATTCCATTACGGAAAAATTCTCGATTTTGATACACAAAACCCTACAGCAGAAACCAAAAATCAATACCAAAAATACATTTACAGAAGAAAAAAAAAAAAGAAAAGCAAGATTTTTCATCTTAAATCTAAAACAGAAAAGAAAATGTTTGCAATTCCTACTGTGTGAGAGACTTCAAGCTGCAGATATACACAGCAGATGATAATCGCGGCAGAACAAAACATCCCATGCCGGGCTAATATATTATATACGAATAATATTACATACACCATTTTGTTCTACTGCATTTTCCTACTCACAGTGGGAGTCGAGCCCACATCATGATGACGTGTGGACTCCAGTCTCATGTTGCTAATAAATCTCGTTTTGTATTGAACATACTGTCTTCCCTTCCCCTCTCATTTTCATTGGTCAGCACCTGGTTCATTCCGTTCCGTCGGTGAACAGGGCACGTAGGGAACGAAACCCCGCCCACCAAACACGGGACGCATGAACGTATCATCAAACTTACGCCAGAGACGGTGGATGGTGTGAGTTGGGGTGCTTAAAAATAACCGTAGGCTGTTTGGGCGGGGGATACCAGTGCCGTCCAGATCAACTTCGGAATCTTGTCTGCCTTCGAGAAGTGGCATTGTGGATGACTTTGGAGTTCCGAGATCTGATGATACGGTGCTGCACAACCGTTTTGGGGGCAGCAATAACCTTACAAGAGGTTTGGTCAATAAACCAAACACCTAAACAAACCAGGGAACCGTTACATAACTTTCATAATAGAAGGAAAAAGGAAAAATTAAAAGAAGATTGTCATGGGCAGAGGTGAAAAAGCTTACCACCGTGCTAAAAAGAACGACGGTGATGGTGCTTGTTATCATAATTGCATTTCCTCGCAAGTGAGTATGACCCAAGCTAGTGAACTACACATTATACCAAAGTTAATGGTAATTCCTTCCAAAAAAAAAAAAAAAAAGTTTTGTTGTGTTTTCATTTTCTGTTCTCTATTTTTTATTTGGGAAATTTTCTAAAGCTACCCAACTTTTAGGTCCTGTTTCCTAATGTTTACAATTTATTGTTTTTTTGCTTACAAAAAAACATTAAACATATTTATGTTTGTGGGGGTGGGGGGAAGGGGGAGAAATGTTGGGTACACATGATTCAAAACATATTTGAAAACAAGTGAGGGGTGGTCAGAGGTTGTGGTTGATGGGCAAAGGTGATGGCTAGAGATGCTAGCCGACAGGAAGTGGTGGCTACAGGTGGTTGCTGGTGGCCACCAACAACCAGACTACGTCAAAAAACACCACTTTCCATTGTCTTTGTTTCTGAAAACACAATAAAATCAAAACACAAAAAATTGAGAAAATGAAAACACAACCAGACAACATCGTTGTATTTGTATGAATATTGTCCTCATCTTTACCTTATTATAAGCAAGTGCCATAGACACTGCTCCCCTCATAAGACCGGCCCACCATATTGTAACCTGAAAAAACAAAAATTATTGTTACAATAACAAATTAACAAGCACTTAAAAAATAAGATAAAACTTTAATAAGAAGACGCGTACTTGCTGCTTGAACTCAATTTTTTCATTTGGATTTTTCTTGGCTAGATTAGATAAGAAAGATAGTGGAAACACAAAAGCTGCTCTTCCAGCCAAAATTAGGCATAGCAGGATTGAACTCACTGCAACTGATATTCCGGGACTGTGAAAAACAGAAGTAAACCCACATGTGAGAACAGTGAACACTAACAACATCCACAGACGAACACAAAAGTTCTGCTTAGAGGGAGCCGAGTTTGTTAAAATTAATGTCATATTTACATTAGATACATTGGATACATTGCATGCATTGGATACATTGAGTTCATACATTCTTTGTATTCATGTATTTTTATATTCATGTATTTTATATTTATTAAGTACATTGTCTAGATTATATTCATGTACCTAATTAATTACAAGGTTGTTTAGGTTCATGGATCTTATTCATTGAACTTATGTATAACCTTCTCTATATAAAAGGATGTAAGCCTATGGGCAACATATATGAATCAATAAGTGATAAAAATTCAATACAAAATATAGTTCATTCTAAAGAGAGTTTTATCAAAAGCTAACATAAGTGGTATCAGAGCTTTGGTTGGGTCAAGAGCAAGCTGGGCGTAGAGATCGGATATGGGAAAACAAGCCCTGAAGAAGAACAAACCGACGTCCATGGCGAATCCCATCAACCAAAATGTATCCACTCCTATCTTTAATGGTGAAAATTTTGATTTTTGGTATGTGAAAATGAGAACTATTTTTGTCTATACGGAGCTTTCGGATCTTGTCGAGAATGGGTTCGAGGAACCTGAAGATGAAGAAGCTTTGACAAATCCCCAAAAGAACCAATTAAACGAGCAAAGGAAGAAGGATTCAAAGGCTCTCTCTTTTATTCAACAAGGAGTTTCAGAAGCAATCTTTCCAAGAATTATCAATGCAACAAAAGCGAAGGAGGCATGGGATATTCTTCAAAAAGAGTACAGAGGCAACTTGAAGGTAAGAACCATCAAACTTCAGTCATTGAAAAGAGATTTTGAAAATTTAAAGATGAAGGATATGGAATTGTTGAAGGATTATTTTTCTAGGGTTATGGAACTTGTAAACCAAATGAAAATTTATGGGGATAATATTACTAATCAAAGAGTTGTTGAGAAAATTTTGATAAGTTTGCCGGAGAAATACAATCCCATTGTTGCTGTCATTGAAGAAACTAAAAATCTTGCTGATTTGAGTATTAAAGAACTAATGGGTTCAATTAAAACATTTGAGCAATGGTTGAGTAGGCGATCTGAAAAGTCAATTGAAAGTGCCTTTCAATCCAAGCTCAATGTTAGTACCTCTAATTCCCAAGGAAGAGGAAGAGGAGGAGGAAGAAATGCAACCAGAAGAGTAAGAAATGCAAGAGGAAGAGGAAGGTCTAATTTTCAAAGAAAGGAAAATGAAGAGTCCACTCAACAAAAGTGTGAAATTTGCAACCGAAGCAATCATGTTGATAAAGATTGTTGGTTTCGAGGAAAACCAAAATGTTACAATTGCAACAAATTTGGGCATGTCAAGAAGGATTGCCTAGTCAAGAGCACTCAACAAGCTAATTTTTTCGATGAGCAAGAAAGTGAAGGGCACATGTTCTATGCTTGTCACAAGGCATCGGATCAAACCAAGGATGTATGGTTTCTCGATAGCGGATATAGCAATCACATGACAAGAGATGAAAGCATTTTTGTAAAAATGGATGCTTCCTCCAGTCCTCAAGTAAAAATGGAGAATGGTGCCTTAGTCTAAACAAAAGGAAAATGTACTATTGCTATAGAAACCAAGATGAGTACAAGATTCATTTCCGATGTTCTCTTAGTTCCAGACTAGGAGCAAAATTTGCTAAGTGTTGGACAACTTATGGAGCATGGATATCTTATTCACTTTGAAGACGATTTTTGCAAAATTTTTGACAAAGGGGGGAAAAAGGTATCCATGCTCCATAAGTTGTCCAACACTTAGCAAATTTTGCTCCAAGTCTGGAACTAAGAGAACATCGGAAATGAATCTTGTACCCATCTTGGTTTCTATAGCAATAGTACCTTTTCCTTTTGTTTGGACTAAGGCACCATTCCCCATTTTTACTTGAGAACTGGAGGAAGCATCTTGAGAAGGATTGGTATACTTAATGGCAATGTGGATGTTTGTTGTATTTTTTGTAAAGAGATGGAGGAAACTTCTAGTCGTGTGCTATTCCATTGTCCTTTTGTTTGGCTGATTTGGTCTTATTTTGTTAATTGGAGGGGGGGCTGCAATGGGTTTTACCAAGTTCAATTCAGGGCATCGGCTCAAAAGGGTTGGTTCTTGCACCAACTTGATGTAAAATTAGCATTTTTGAATGGAAAATTAGAAGAAGAGGTGTATGTTGATTAACCTCAAGGCTTTGTTGTCAAAGGCAAAGAAGATAAAGTGTACAAGTTGAAAAAGGCTTTCTATGGCCTAAAGTAAGCACCCCGGGCATGGTATAGTGAAATTGATGTTTACTTCAATGAAAAGGGTTTTCAAAGAAGCAAAAGTGAGCCAACTTTGTACATCAAGAGGCAAGGTACAATCGGTATTCTCATTGTTTCACTTTATGTTGATGATTTGGTTTTTACCGGTAGTGATGAAAACTTGATTGGAGATTTTAAAAGGGAGATGATGAAGAAATATGAAATGAGTGATTTGAGGCTATTGCATCATTTTTTAGGCATTGAAATCCACCAAAACAATGGTGGTGTTTTTATTTGCCAAAAGAACTATGCTCAAACACTTATTGAGAAATTCCAAATGAAGAATTGCAAATCAGTTGCTACTCCCTTGATTGTGAATGAAAAGTTGTCAAAGGAAGATGGAAGCAAAGAAGCTGAAGCATCTTGTTATAGAAGTTTGGTTGGAAGTTTGTTGTACTTAACTGCTACAAGACCGGACATCATGTATGCTACAAGTTTATTGTCTCGGTTCATGCACAGTCCAAGCCAAATTCATTTTGGGGTTGCAAAAAGAGTGTTGAGATACATTCAAGGTACACTTGATTATGGAATTTTTTATGAGAAATTTCTTGATGCAAAGTTAATTGGATTTTGTGATAGTGATTGGGCCGGATGTGTTGATGATATGAGAAGCACTTCTGGGTATGCATTTTCTCTTGGATCGGGTGTAATTTCATGGTTATCCAAGAAACAACAAACTGTGGCACAATCATCTGCTGAAGCCGAATATATTTCAGCATCATTGGCAACTACACAAGCAATTTGGCTAAGAAGAATTTTGGATGATTTTGGTGAGAAACAAGGTGAAGCTACTCCAATTATGTGTGATAATAAGTCTGCTATTGCTATGGCAAAGAATCCTGTCTACCATTCTCGTACCAAACACATTGCTATCAAACATCATTTTATTAGAGAAGTTGTGGAAGATGATGAGATTCAAATCAAGTATTGCAAGACTGAAGATCAAGTTGCGGACATCTTCACCAAAGCTTTACCAAGGGACAAATTTGAATTTTTTAGAGAAATGTTGGATGTCACACAATATGGCATTAAAGGCGAGTGTTAAAATTAATGCCATATTTGCATTAGATACATTGGATACATTGCATGCATTTGATACATTGAGTTCATACATTCTTTGTATTCATGTATTTTATATTTATTAAGTACATTGTCTAGATTATATTCATGTACCTAATTAATTACAAGGTTGTTTAGGTTGATGGATCTTATTCATTGAACTTATGTATAACCTTCTCTATATAAAAGGATGTAAGCCTATGGGCAATATATATGAATCAACAAGTGATAAAAATTCAATACAAAATATAGTTCATTCTAAAGAGAGTTTTATCAAAAGCTAACAGAGTTAAGTGTATGAAAAAATAAATAAATTCTCTTTTTAAAAATTATAATTCCTTACATAAGCTTTATTAGTAAAAAAAATCATTAAATTCATGCCAATCTTTTCTTAATAGTTATCGCAATTATTTTATACAAATTTTAGGCTATATAATATAATTAGGTTCTTAGTGTATAATTAGATTGTCATTTTAAAAAAAGAAGCCTTTCTCTTGTCATCTTAAGTCATTCTATTGATAATGTAATTTATATAAATAAACAAATCTACCTCTATAATTTTTGTTATCGAAACAAATAACAAATGACATATACATAACAAATTAATAGAATTGATGCTATTAGGTAATATGTGAAATAGTATAGGGTCATGTCAGATATATTATAACAATATTTAAGGACAATAAAAGAATTTAAAAAAATTTAGAGGGAGCATTTATGTACATTGTAAAAGTACTTATAAATTAGAGGGGTAATAGAATAATTTTAAAAAAACATAGGGCGGGCCATGACCCCACTTGCTGCTCCCCTACCTTCATCATTGGTGACATGGGTAATAAACTAATCCTCCAAATGGATGAAATTCTAAATTTTAGTAAATAATAAATCAAATTCATCATTAAACAATCTACAGAATGGGGCTTCTCTTCTAGATGTATATTTGACATACCTGTCATTAACAAACCTCCACTTCTCAATGTCCAAAGCATCCATTCCAACATAAAGAAAAATAAAAATCTCGGCAACAAAAGACAAAGTCGCAAAAGCATGCCTGAAATGATTTGTAGAAAGAACTAAAGCATTAGTTAATAGAGCATTGAGAACAATAATATGATCAAAATAGGTTCCGATGGCTTGAGATGATATTTTAAGAGGAATGTACTTTGTTGTGATCCTTGAACTCTCTGTCACGTTGTGCCAGGTGTAATGGGACATAACAATCCCACAGAAAAATACAGTTAGAATCCCGCTCAAATAGAATAGCTGCAACAAAAATTGTGAACAACATAAGGCAAAAGAAAAGAAGGGCCTCAAGGGAAAATTACAATGGTATTAAGTAGAATCTTACTTCGGCCATCATATATGAAAGATAAGCCATGAGAATCATAAGAGCTACCTCACGATCGGTTGAGTGCCTGGTTTTTGTCAGATTCAACATAATGCCATATTAGTATATTACATTCATATTCTTCCCAACAAATATTTTTTTATGACTCATATAAATAATGAAAAACCAAACGTAATCAAGTCAAACACAATATTTCAACAAAATTTCAGGGTTACAATTTTTTTGATTTGTTCTAGTGATGATCTAATGGTTACTTGTGTGATCTGCATATAGTATATCTGGTGAAGAATCAATGATGAAGATTTAGGGCGTGTACAGAGTTTTATATTCTCCCTCATCTAAACTTTTAAGTCTTCTATGGATAATTATCTAGGTAGATTTCTGTAACTAAAACATTTGGGGAAAAACTTGCAAAAAAAAGTGTCAATATATATATATTTTATAAAAAAAAAAAAGAAAAAAAGAAAAAAGAAAAAGTGTGATATTTCGGTAACTGTAATAATTATCCATCAGAATGGAAAAATTAAATAGTGATCATGAAGCAATTAACTGGTAGGACAGAAAACAATCCCCTATGTCCTCAAGATATGACCCCATACGTGAAGAGGGGAGCTTTCTAAACTGGCAGGTAGTCCAGTTTTCTTAACCAATTGTGTAGGTTAATTCCTAATAATGCGATACACAATATGTGACAATCAGAAGTTACTATCATTCTATCATAGTAAAAACAACAAATACCTGCCAAAATACAGCTTTTTGATGATATAGGCACTAAGCAGCCCAGTCTGCAAGGGAAAAGGAATATGTGTCATATCATAGCCACATTCTTGCTCTATCATTTGCATGTAACAAATGAGAGAGAGAGAGAGAGAGAGAGAGACATACTAGCACTCCCAGCAAAGTGCTTGCAACAAATAAATACGAGAAATTGCCAAGAAATTGAAGGGCAATTGTGGGATCAAAATTTGTAACGTCAAAGCTTTGTATTGCATTGAAAAGCACCACTGATGTAGCATCATTTACGACACCTTCCCCAAAAACCAGACTGTAGAGTAGCGGTGTCTCATCCTGATCAAGCACCTGCACCATCAAATAATTTTAGTTTTCTAAGTCTTTGGTACCTTCAATATACAAAACACTGCTTTAACTTTGATATATTCTTTACCTGTAATGTGCAAACAGAGTCTGTTGCAGAAAATATCGCACCGATTGCTGAAATAGTGCAGCAAAAACAGGTCAGCTTCCAAAAAGGTAAGAAAACAACAGCGAAGCAAACGTGAGTGAAAAAGATGATACCTAAGTAATCACCAATATCTAGAGAGCCAATCTCCATTCTTTTAAAGACCTGTGTGACACCTGAGTCAAGCACAAGAGAGTCACTAATATGACCAGATAACAGACTGATGACCATTCACTACAAACCAATTTAATTGGTTGGTAATCGATACCAATAGACATCTCATAACCCAGAAGGTCATCATTTACCCATTTGATTACAGCTATGTACAACCAAGTCAAACAGGAAACTCAAACATACACCACAAATTCAAGGGAAAAAGATTTAATTAGATTCAACTGCAAGTAATCTCAAAAAGCAGTAAATTCAGAACAAGGTAAACAAGCTCAGGAGATCAAACCTACCCTTTTCCGTCCTCAAAACAAGAACTATGTTAGTGACTACTGTCTTCCATATGTCTTGCCAAATATCTGGCTACGTACATTGTGAAAGAGTGACAAGAGATAAGAAACAAGAGGGAAAGCATATGAGTCAGCCTTTAGAAAGCCTACTCTTATATTTATAGAGGACTGTTATATCTCACTTGTTTTTCTTACTGTTTTATGTCATTAGGGCATATGGCAATGCCTTCATTATTTCCTTATTGATTATTTGCAAACAAAAAACCAATTATGAGTATTCACGTAGGAGGTGGTACAACGCAATGACCAAAAATCTGTGACATATAGAATTTCTCATATTTATATAACACCACCATGTATATGAAAGTACAAAATGGTCCCCATTACATGTGTCATACTTGACAATCCCTCTCAATATAGGGCGCACAATAACAAATATAATGGGGAATGTGGGAACAAACACAATTGTGACTTGTGAGACTTGAACCAACAGCCTGTTGGACTCAAAAACCATGTTAGATGACAAATTGTCCTGAAAGCGTAAGCTTTTAGAAGAAAAATAATCTCACGTCATTTATAATTTTTGCTATTTCTTTTGCATTCAGATGGAAAAATGAATGGAATGAAAAGGTGGTCATTTGAGAATAACCCACCAGAAGAGAAAATATATGTGCCTAATGCAAGTCGACACCCGGGAATGGAAATCATCCAAGTTGCACACAAAAGCAACAGTATTTTGAATCAAAAGAACAGAATATAGTATAAAAGAATGTAAACAAACTACAAAAAAATCATTGCTTCTTCAGGTAAACTTTACCAACATAGGGAAGGTTCCAGCCTTGGAAACATAACAAGAGAAAATTAAATGAGATTTCATACTGTTGAGGAAACATTTTACAGCATACATAAGGTTTTAAGGTATACCTACTGATATAACGACCCAGGAAATAATTGTACCAACAGCACCAAACAGTGTAATAGTGATGAAGTTACGGAAAAATTGCTTCTTTTTCACCTGAAACCTGGTACACAACACAATCATTAAAAATCATGCTTAAAAGATTGGTGAAGAAATTTTTTGGATAATTGATAATATGTGATCATCATCAGGACATCATTAGAAATGTTAGACAACCAGTAACAAATGGCATACTAAAATCATTGCATAAATAGAAACAGTCAACAATTTAACTCTTAGATGGTGATCCGCTCAAGAGGGAGAAAATGTAGTTTTCTTAGTAGGCTGAATGCCAACACATATTTTGAGTCAATAATAAGAGTCTAGAAAACCTGGGTGCCACAATACCATCAACATTATGCTTGGTTACACAAAAAGATGCACCACATTTATTAATCATATACTTGGATTAAATGGAATAACAATAAAAGCTTAGTCAAGAACTTTTATAGGAAATTATATGTGAAAGCAGTATATCAATTATCACATCTCAAATAGAATATTTTGTATAATAAAAAAAATTAAATTAATTATGATCTCAAAGGTAGAATATTACTGAATAAGATGTAATAAAACACCAAAAAAAAAATAAAAAATGAAACTCTTTTAAGCCAGTGTAATGGTAAACATAACAACTCTAAATGACGAAAGAAGCAATGTAAGTGAGAAATTTAAATCAATGACAACCACAAAACCAGAAGTAGAAACACACTTCTAACTAGGTACAACTTACAAGCATAATGAGAAGCACACTCAATAATCTATAATCAGGTTACAGGTATATAAACTATTACAAAGATCTCAGTAAACAGCAAAGTTTGAAAGCAACACAATTTACCCGGCATTGAATATAATAGGTGGAAGAAGATATATGAAGAAAAGATCTTCACTGAAGACTAAAACATGCGAGCTTCTTCCCCCACTTGTAAGCAAAATCACAGACCCGGTACACAGACCCTGTCACCAACCACATTACAAATTACATTATTGAATATTTTGAAAGAACAAACGTATGAATGCTGGTAGATATAATCAAGAATTTAGCTTCACATATAATTCCTTTTTTTAGCTATACAATAAGTTGCAACACCATTTAATTCCCATTTCTTGAATTTTTTATTATTCAATGGCCTCATAAACTCTATTTTTTTTTTTTCTTTTGGGCTTATCAGGCCTGGCCCGAGGGCAGGCAAAAGAGGCCTGCGCCTTGGGCCCCAAATTTAGGTTGAAAATAAGGGCCCTCAAATATAATTTTGTATTTTAAATATATATATATATATATAAAAGCTCAAATACTATAGACCAAATTGAACTGATCGTGATTTAATTGTAAACTGGATATTGCTAAACTATAAAGCAACAAGGCTAGATTTTTTTTTTTTTTGAGTATTTGTAATGATTACTTCCTATCTTAATATATGAAAGTAAATTTTTGTTTATAATTTTAATAATTATACGTGCAAGTAATTTTTTTGTGGCTACAAAAAAAATAAAAAAGTTATTGTAACTTATCATTTTATTTATCAACTTCTTCTTTTTTTCAATGTAAGAGGGATTCCATTTCCAAAGTTTGCCTTGGACCTCCTAAATCTCAGGCCGGCCCTGAGGCTTATTTTCAACTTTTTAAAAATTATGTCAAAATATTTGACTTTTTAAGTTTGTCTAAACTGGATTGACTGAAAAATTTAAAAGATTTCAAAAAAATTTCACTAAACACCAAAATAACCCAAACTTTATCCCAAAAAAAAAATCCTACTTTTCCTTTATGAACTTTTTTCAATATTTTTTTTAAAAACAATTTTTAGGATAGTCTAATAACATATTTTGACTCAAAGTTATAAAAGTTCACTAATATGAAAGTAAGCTTAGAAAATAGCACAAGTAATTAGATGCAGCCAAAAAAAAATCCTAAAATTCAAACACCAAGCAACATTCAAGGTTGGATAATTGGATTCAAAATATGATTTCTTTTGTTTTCGCGATAGCTTTTGTTCTTAACAATGAAAAGGAGGATAACGAGGATAAAGACTCACAAGGACAAGGGCAGTGGTGGACTCATTCATCCATCGGCTCTCCTCGAGCAAATGACCGATCACAATACACGCGCAAAGAAGCGCCACAAATAAATTCATTGACACAACCGAAGCATGGTTCGAAGTTGATACCATCCCCAACCTTGACAATACTGAACTCAATTCGAAAGCCATTGTTACAACTTTCTAAATCCACCACACAAAGCAATTAACTATAATCTGACCTACTTTTCATTCTCAGCCCCAAAAAATTCCCTCCAGATTGTAGAATCCACATTAGAAAGCCGCCAACTCTGCATCAAACAATATTAAATAACTACGATTCTGAAAACAATTGAGCAAAAAATAAGATCATTTCTTCACAAAGCGTAATTGCAAAAATGCTTTGTTTGGTTTCTCGGAAAATGCATGGAAAATAACTAATGTAACAGAATTTACGTGATATTGCATATTTTTTTTATTTTTTTATTTTTTCTTTCTGTAAACAAACTAAAATAGCATCAGAGGACAAAATAATAGAGTAAAGTAAAAATAAGATTTACTAAAATTTTTCTTTTCATTTTTTTTTTCTTTTCTCAGCAAAACAGAAGGTAACTTCGATGCAAAACGTAATAAAAATACTCACAAATGCATTTCCAAGGGAAATGAAACAAGGCATTGTCGAAATCAACCAACAGTTTTCAAAAAATGGGCAAAATGATTGAATTCAAACAGATAGTTCGGAGTTGATCTCTGTTTTCGAGTTCTTCAGCAATTAGCGATGTTTAGGGACACGGAAACTATGGAGATAGCCAGAGAAAAAGATCGGAAAAAGAGAGAAAATGAAAGCAAATTGCCGAGAAAGTTGAAGAGAGAACGTGAAAATCCTGTAAAGAGAGAGAAGATGAGAATGCATGAGAGAGAGAGAGAGAGACGGGGGCGTCTTATGCGGGAGAACAGGACATGGAGGCGGAGGAAGGTTTTGATTAGGTACGGTCATGTGGAACCGCAAACAAGGTGGTGTTTGATCTGGATCGTTGGTTTTTGGGGCTGAATCATCGTACGGTTAGAAGCAATGGGGATGTTGTAGTAAAAGTAACTTTTTGAAGACCTTGCTTTGAAGAACAAAATGACAAATAAATAAATAAAACTGTATTTAAATGAACAATTCAAAAGAAAAAAAATAAAATCTCATTTTTCTTGAAAAAAAATAATGAATAAATTACATTGACCTCTCATAAAGTTTAGTGAAATATGACACTAACCTCCCATAAAATGTCTCCCTACTTTTGGCATAACACTAACCTCTATTTTAGTAAAATTTAAAGAAATTAAAACTAATGTAAATAATAATGTGAATGCATAAGAATAAACAAAGAAAAATAAATTTCTGTGTAAAAGTGTTGTCACTAATGAATTATTCATGAAAAAAGTGTTGTGTCAATTAAAATCTTAAGAAAATCTAATTTAATTATACTAAAACTGCAATATTAGTTATATTTAAACAAAAATAAAAAAATCTTAAAAGAAATCAATATAGTTTACTCGAAAAATAATTGTTAATAAAGTTATTGTATTTGACAAGTGTTTTTTTTTTTTTAGAAAAAAAAATTTGAGTAAAAATTGCTTAAATTAGTCATTTCCTGACCAACGAATTTTTTTTTTTTAGCTGATATAACTACAATGCTGTTATTTAAGCTATTGTCAAACATGACCTTAATGCTAAAAACATTAATTAAATTATATATTTATATATAAGGCTATTTACTCATATGTTCAAACCATAAGAAAAAGGACCTTTGTAGTTTCCTCATTATAGTTGGCTGTTGGTACAAGACAAATTTGGTAAATGACCAAAAGTTAGTTTAGTGTTTGGCAATTTATCACCAACAATTAGTCTGAATTATTTCGAATTTATTTCTCAAATTCAAGTTATTGTGTGACGCAGAATTATTTGTCTTTAAATTTTTGTTACACTATTTCTATATACTCTCAATTATTAAATAATATCTCAAAATTTTAATATATTGATATTCTTATATAATTTTACGATTAGACTAAAATATAACAATAGAAAATTTTAAAAATTGAGATATGAAACAAATGTATTTAAAACATAAGAAAAAGAAAAAGAAAAAGAAAAAGAAAGAATGAAAGAATATAAGACACTTTTATTAAATTCAAAACAATTTTTACTGAATTCACTAATTTTTTTTTTTTTTAAATTGAAATACTCTTTAGGTTCTGTTTGAATTATAAATTTGGGTACAGATTTTAGACTTAATTTTTTTCTTATTTTTAAAGCACATTTTATCATAATTTCAATACTAAACAAACAATAGCTCAAGAGCACTTGTCACATTTCCAAATACAGAATAAGAACTACACTACTTTGTGTGAATCAACTCTTTTAGCATTTTGAATTTGGCTTCTCATTTTATTTTGGTAGCTTTAGTTTTATTTTTAGTTAAAATGTATAAAAAAAGAAAAAGAGAGAGAGCAGAAATTTTTTTTCCACACAAATTACATTTTCACCTTCAAACTTCCATATGAATTTCTCTTCTAACTTTCAGTCAAATTTCACTTTGGTATTTCATGTTTCAACTTCATTCAAATTTCATAAAGTGGATTTACGGGAGGATCACATTACAACACGTATTAAAATCTAAGGACTTAATTGTTGCAATTAAAAGATAGGGGACCAAATTAAAATTTGAGTGAAGTTCAAGGGCAAAAGATGTAATTTACCATTTTTTCAATAAAGTGCGAAAGGTCTGGTTAATTCAAATGGGAAATCTCATGAGCAGCCACTGCTACGATGTTGACGGCGTGAAGTAGTTGGCGTCACGGACTTTATGTTTGTAAGCTACTTTCTGTACTAAATTACAAAACCACCCCAACTCTTTTGGCTAATTCCATATTAGGCAAAGTTTTAGTCAATTATCTTCCTTTTACTACTCGTTTGTTGCCTTTTTGTGAGGTTTTGAGTCATGCCATGCCATATGGTGAATGAGAGCCTCAAATTTGTCTCACATTGCTTGGCGGATGAGATATTGACACTATAAAAGTAAAGATCACGAATGTTTTTTTTTTTTTTTCATAAAACTTTTGAAAATAAAATCATGCGCTAATTAAGTGAATTTATGTGTATGGACACAAGAGTTGTACGTGGTAATATTGTACCCAATAGGGCTGAGTTGTTACAAATTTGGTAGTTACAAAGTCGACTTCATACTTTTTACTAGGGTCATGTTAAATATTGTCAAATTCGATAAAACTGTATTGATTTGCATTAATTCGCATCACTCTAACTATTATTAGTAATTTAAATTTTAAAATTTATAATTTGCTTTTTAAACCACTCCACTTTACTTTTAAACTGCTCCACTCCGCTATAACATATTTATATTTTTTAACTTCTAATAAAATATCAAAGTAAAAATAAGTGCGAGAGAGATTTAAGATATGAAATTTATTACAAATTAGTAATTATATATATGAAACATATTATATAAAATTATTGTGTTATATATATAAAAAATATTATACAAATTAGTGTTATATATTATGCAAATGTGTGATAATTAATTAGAATATTATTCAATCTGTCGATCAGCCAAAAATCACTCAAATCACAATTTGTCAATCTGCCAATACATCATTCGATTTGTAATTTTATTTTTAAACCGCCCGAATCATACCGCTCATACCCTTACTTTTTATGGTGGCAAAAGAAAGAGTACAGAGTTAAAATTTATTTTCAAAATAAGTGAGTAACTTTTTTTTTGTTACAATAATAGAATAAAATTTCTTAATTGTTTACATTTTTAAAAAATAAAAAATAGATATCAAACAAGTTTTTATTTATAATTATTTTTTTTTTTGTATATATAAACATAAAATTATAAATACAAACGTTAGTGAATTAGTCCTTAATTTTATGTTAGAGCATCCACACCAACCTCTTCAAATTTTTAGTCAAATTAAAACTATTTTGTTATTTTAGTTAGTCACTTCTTAACATCTACTGCATCAAACTCTCTATTCTAACTTATTATTATTAAAATATTATTTTCTTATTGTGTTTGTTAGTCTTTCTTTTTTTATTAAATTGATAAATTACTAGCTATACAATTCTTAAAAAATGCAAAAAAAAAAAAGTTGTCGTTGACCGTTTGACCGGGCGGACATCCGACAACACTAATCTAGCAATGAATAGTACCTCGTTTGTTGTAACAAAATACTTTACCAAATATAAATTTTGACGAGCTGCAAACGAGTTTGATGCGACTGATTTTTTAAAATTTATTAGCTAAAAAATGATTTTGAAGAAGTTGATGAGGATGGTCTTAGTCCATTAATTATGTTGTCAAATGTTTTCTTTTACTCCCTAATTTTTTCTCCAGATTTTTTTTAAAAAAAATTCACTTTGTAAATCCTTCTATATTAGACGGATAAAGACAAACAAAATAAAAAAAATATACTCTTTTAGCTGGATCTCAAAGACAACTTAGGTAGTGTTTGATAGAATTTTTTAAATATGATTTGAGAATAAAGTTATATTTTGAGTTTGTGAATTTTGAAATTATGATTTGAGTGTGAAAATTTTGTTTGGTTATGAGTTTTGAATTGACTTTGAAATGAATAATGTGACATATGATAACCCAAAATCCAACACATAACCCAAAACCCAACTCATAACCCAATACATAACCCAAAATCCTATTCAAAACTCATAAAATTTTAAAAAAATTTCTGAAAATATTTTTATTTAAAATATAAAAATAACAGGTGCAAAAAAAAAAAAAAAAAAAAAAAAAAAAAAAAAAAAAAAAAAAAAAAAACTGAACACTGTTCCGGTCAACCGGCCGGACGTTTAGGTGGATGACTGGGTTAGGATCCGGAGGGACATCTGGGAATATAACCGGGTTAGGGTTAGGGTTCGGGAGACGTCTGGAAGTATGACCGGATTAGCCAAATTTTTCCGCCTAGAAATAAGTTTTTAAAAGTGAGTGTAGAATTATAATTTGAAAGCTCAAAACAAATACCACACTCAAATCAATGGGTGAAAATATGTTTGGAGAGCTACTCCAAACACAGCCAAGTTTCTCCTAGGGGAGCCCACCCCACCAGCTTTTCTGTAGGGCTAGTGAGCTGGGCCAGTCAATGGATCAACGGGTGGGCTAGCCGGCCACTTCATGAGCCAATTTGGCAGGCTTTAAACTCGAAGCCCAGCCCAAGCCCCATTAAGGTTGGGCCAGCCTGTTACGGACTTGGGCTGTCAGTCTTGGCGGGACCCAAGGTTGACCCTCAGTTGCTTTTGAACTCTTTTTACTCTCAATTTTAAGTCAAAATGCTTCAACACAAAGAGGCTCAAACCAATCTCACTGTAACTGTAGAATAGAAGCAAGCTAATGAAGCCCCAAAACTGTGTGAGAGAACAAGAAATTGTGGTCAGTAAACTAGTAACCCAAAGCATTTTTTAAAACAATTTTTTTTATAAGGCGAAGCATTTTTATGAAACAAAATAATTGCAGGGTCACATCTCCACTACAACACACAACACATCAATTCATGATCATTTTTTCAACACCCCTTATGCAATAAATATAATACCCATCATCTGTTTCATTAGCCTCAACCTTCGAGCTTTGTGTTGTAATTGTTGACCATAGCATTGAGAATTTTCGTGGCCTATGAAATTGTCTGGTAACAAAAGAAGAAAACAAAAATTGCTAAAAACTCACAACAAGAAGGCCCCTGCATTCCAACAGCTGGGTTGCGACGTTCCAATCACCGCTTGAAGTGGTTTGTTCATTTTTCTGTTCCTTGTAGAAGGTAGTGACCAAATACCTGTAAATCATCCATAAAACTATAAATCTTATGGAAAGTAATAATACTGTTTCTAGATTGATGAATAAACTATGATATAGCATCACTGTAAACAAGCAACTGCAATGGCACTAAAAACAAAAAAAAGGGGGGACAAAACGGGATAATGAGTAGACTTTCGTTAGAATAATACACAATTTTCATGTATATGCTAGTTGTTAATCAACAACTAGTGCAGCGGGAAACCAACTTCACAAGATCAATCTCAAGCAGTTTTCATTTTTGTGAACTGAGTTTTTTCCAGAAATGTTGCTGTATTGAAAACTTGATATAGTTTTGGTTTCTTTTAGTAATCGTCTGGTGTGTACAACTGTTTGGTTGCTTTTCATTTTCTCAACGTGTTTCTGAAAACTGCTTTGCCACTTTTTAGAAAACACCACTGAGATATTTTCAAAATTTGAGAACTCTTCTCACACAACAATAAAAGCCATTTAAAAACACTTGCGAGTTTTCAAACTTTTCATTGTTTTCATTTCCAAATACACAAAAAAATGAAAACAAAAAAAACACAACCAAACAGATCCTTAATTTGTTGGTACTGGATTCTGAACCATTTCATTTGAATCTACAAAGAACATTGTTTTCAGGAGCCTATTTAAAAACAAACTAAAAGACTCAATTCAAGTAATTAAGGATTAACAATTCACCTTTTGATCTAGCTCCTAGGGTCCCCTACATGACCGCTTCACTTCAAGAAAGTAAAATATCCACAGCAGACTGTTGCCTTGAGCCAATTCACATTCTATACATACTCATCCTCATCACTGTCCTCAAAGTCAGAACCTGACTCATCACTTCTCGGCTCCATCAGAGTATTCATGTCAAACGATGAATCCATTTCTGTCTCGTCCATGTCAATGAAGTCATAGTTCATCCGTTCAGCAAATTTCTCGTCAGAGCAGTTAAGAAGCCACGCAAGTGAACATTTCAGCCCCTTCTTTGCAACCATCTTATGTCTTGGTTTTATAGTAGACTCCAAACTATAAGTAAAAAAGGCTGGGAAAATAACCAAATCATCTAAACACCTACCCATCTCATTTTGGAAATAATCAAAACCAAGTTTCATGATATCAAGATTCAAAGCAAGGATTTGGGGGCACCCCAACACCATCTTTCTCAATTGTTCTAAGGAAAATCCACAATCCTTGAGGAAATCCACATGTTTCACTATTGGTTTTTTGCTAAGGCTAACGACCTGTGGCATCTTCTCAACTACTCTCCCAAAATCTTCAGGACCCAAATCAATAATAGATCTGAGAAAGCTACATTGACTGAGAAGTTTCGGTTTCAGGTCAATACCTATAATTTCGGGATATTGTGCAATCGCAGAAGCAAGTGAAGTTTGTCTAACATTAAACTCTAGAAGGGATTCGACATTTGGTTTCACCCTCTCTTCTAGTCCAAATCCAAGAATATGAGGCCGCTTCTCAATCAGTCTAGCCACGGCTAGTCTGGGAATTCCCAAATTTTCTAGATATTCCACAAATGGTTTGATTACTCGACCAACTCGCATTCCCAATATCTCGGGATATCTAGTCAAAACGCCACCAATTTCTCTTCTAGCAACCCCAATTCCAACCAAATAAGCCACTGAGGTGCTCATGGTCCCCTCAAGCTTGAATCCCATTACTTCTGGATACTTCTCAAGAACACGAGGAATATCATTTGGCTTGATGTCCATCCCCTGAAGATACTTAACCACAGGTTCAAGGTCCACGACAACACTAGCATGGAGGACTTGTGGGTATCGTCGCAAAAATTCTGTAAAAGTAGATTTTCTAACACCCAATTTGCCAAGATAATCAAGAACGGGAATCATGTTTTTCTTCACACTGCAACCAAGAACAAGAGGATAGTTGTTTATGTCTTCAATTGTAAGCCCTAATTTGTGGAGGAAGTCCACACGTTCCCTCATAACATCAATTGTCACGGGAAGCTCCAACCCATCAAGCTCGTCGGTTACAATACCAATTCCCCTCAAGAACTCATAAACACGGGCACGATTTTCCATACTCTCGTTCTTCATCTCAAGTAAACTAGGACGACTATATAAGGAGTAGCTTCCTCGTTTCCGACCCAAGTTAACTGTATCGGTTTTGGATAAAGATGAACTTACAGAATTGGATGCAACTGTCCCACTGGTGACAGAGTACTGACATTTTGTCCTGAAACCTGTTCTCTTCTCCCGGTTAATTGAAATCCATATAGTTTTTGGAGTAGTTAACTGGGGTAGACAGAATGTAAGCGCTGGTAGCTCATAACGTATGAGCAAAAAACTCGGTTTTGTAATGCCAGTGCAGCTTATGATCTTCATACTTGTAAGTGCGTTGTACAATCAATGAATCAGCATCATGCATAACGCATGATCAGCAACCATAAGTTTCAAAAGAATCCTATTCCCCAACAAAAGTCAATTTGACTACAATTAGTAATTAAACAATGGTGATAATAAGGTGCAATGAGCAACAAATTTAAACTTTGATTTGCATTCTTTCAATTAAAAGAAAAAGAACAAAAACAATCATCAAAATAAAGGGAAGGATACAATAGTATTTGCATTACAAGAGGAAGAGGTGAATGTGATGTTCCCGATGTGCTACTTTTCTTCTTTCCCTTGTGTTGAGGATCTATATCAACAAATGCTTTGGAAACATAAATTTTGTATTGTACCAAAACAAAAAACAAAACAACACACAACAAATAGAATGATGTGACTAATTTAAGGCCTACCACATCAAACCAAAGACCAATCAAGGTGCCTTGTAATTTCAATATTGCTGGCACATCATTCTAGATACGATTCTATATAAGACTTATATTTGTTAAAACTTTTCCACATATTAATCTTCTTGAGCTAGAATACAACATTAAAGCAAGATTCTATAATTACAACAGCTAGATTTGATTCATACCAATTAGAGCTTTAGGAAAGTAAACACAAGCTTGCACTTCTGTTAGTTTGTTCCGAAGAAAGAGGAAAGGAACACAAATTGCATATTTGGTTATAAATAGTCACAAAATGAATCAATTATTGATCCTTTATTATTCTCAATGTTTTCTAATAACTCAAGCATAAGAATCTGCTTGATTCTCAAATGAACAATTTTTTTTCTTCATTTTTTCTCAAAATTTATCTAGGTGCAGCTTCTAACAAGATGAAAGTTGACAATTAAAAAAGTAGAAGCAAAAAAGCACCTCTCCCCTATTTCTGAATAATCAATTTCTTTTTCCTGTTTGTTTAAGCTATTTTTGCCCCATAAGAGCATCTCCAGCGTTGAATAAAAATTTTCATCAAATTTGAGTAAAAAATTGATGAAAAGTTTAATTTGATACCGTTCACTCTAATACTAAAACTAGAATTTTCAGCAAGTTTTTTCACATCTCCGATTGTCTGGAAGGACGTCGGCCAGACATAATGGAGGTCATCTGAACATGAACAAAAAAAGCTGTCAAATTGCCTTAGATGGACATCTGGGAGGACATCTAGTCAACGGTAACAATTAAAATTTGATGAAAGATCAAACCTCCCTCCATTTGATGAAATATCTGCTTCTCCCTCTATTTGATATCATTTTGATGAAAATGTCGGAGCTCACTTTTTAAGACTTTTTCATTAAATTTGAATTTGATGACAAATTTGAGTAAATGTTGGAGATGGTCTAAGAAGTTGCACCAAACACTTGCCACAAGTTTCCAAAATTAAAAAGAAAAAAAGAAGCTATAAGCAGCGGGTTGTGTTTAGTTCATCGATTTGGATAGTGATTTCGAACACACCTTTTCCCTTTCCCTTTGCCTGTCCAAATCCCTATCTCCAAATCCATGAACCAAACATAACCAAGTTGCACCAAACAGCCCCAATATTGGCATCTCCAATCCTTACACATATGTTGACTGAAAGTTAAATTTGAGTGAAAAAAAAAACCCAAATCCTTTCCCACTCCTCAACTCAAACTCATGCCAAATTTAGTTCTACTCAAACTTTTCAAAATGAAAGGAGACTCAAAACTTGACTCAGATGTCCAAAGGCTATATTTTCTTAATTTATTTACTAAATTGCAATTCTTGGGATATATTATGGGAATTTTTAAAAAGAATATGACTGAAAATTGGAGTTTACGATTGGAATTCTTCATATCAAATAAAACTTTTACTCAGATTTTAGTATTAACAAAAACAATTAGTATCAAACATCACATTAAGCAACTATATATGCGACATTTTTTTATGAGAAAAACTTTAAAGAATTTGAAATTACCTAACAACGAGGGAATCGATCAGTGAATTCACTGCAGTCTCTACTGGCGACGTTGAGAGAGAGAGAGGATAGCCGGAAAGTGTTTCGGAGTTAGGGTTTTGGGGAGAGAGGGAGGGAGAGAGAGAGAGAGAGAGACGCTGCTACTGGTAGTCTCTCGTCTGAGATGAGGGAGTGAGAGACAAAATCAGATCGACGGCAGAAGTGAGGTGTACGCGTGGACGGCTAAGATTAATACATCTGGGAAAAAAATGATTTGATAAAAATTTTAATAAAATATTTGGACCCTGCATTTTTATAATTTAAATAATTTTATGGGTAAGATTTGTTGAATATATTATTTTTATAAAAAGTTAAAGTGATTAGGCATTAATAATTATTCGATGAATAATGTTTGTGTGAATGATAAATATGATTTTAAAAATAAATTATTACTAAAAATATAATCTAATTAAATGACTATTAATATTCAACTAATCTAATTTTTTTTTTATTTATAAAAAATAATATCCGTAGTCAACTTTGTAAATTGAACAATTTAAATTATGAAGATAGTGCCCAGCACACTACGCACCCACAATACCTTCCATTCATTGCAGATGAAAGTGAAGCCTTTCCCAAGAAGAGATATATAGGGTTGTTTTGGAAAATTAATTAAAATTTAATTTTTTAATTTTTTTTGATTTTTTTTAAAAAATATGTAAAAAATGTGAGAGATAATGTAATATAAAATAGATTAAAAATTGAAAAATAATTTTTAACTAGCTTTTCAAAATAAGTCATAGATGTAAAAAAGAAATGTTAAATGCACACAAATAAAAATGAAAAAATTCTCTTGTCATTCGAAGGCTGAGCACTTTATCTATGATTTAAATGTAGTCAAAAAAATTTCATGTGATTTTAGATCAAAATATAACTATTATTACCATTAATTATAGATATGAAATAACAATAACTTTATGCTCTCAAACTGTATATCATTTTTGTTATTTTCTTTCTTTCACCTCTCTCATATACATAATTTATAATATCTAATATTAATTCAATTAAATCACAATTAATTATAAATTCTTAACCTTTTAATTTAACTATATTTTAGATTACAAATAATCATAAAATATTTAATTATTTATTGTAGTTGTTAACTTTTGTAAGTATATTTTGGATCACAATTAATCTTAAATTTTTAATTATTTATTGTAATTCCTAACATGTTGAATCTAATTTTAATTTAATTATATTTTAGGAAAATTCTTAATTTTTATTTAATTATATTTCAAATCAATCCTTAATTATATTTTAATTTATTTTATTTGAGTTAACATATTAATCCAATTTTAGATTTGGAGAAAATGAGATAAAATTGTCTTTTTGTTGTATTAATTTCACTTTATTTTTTCAGAAAACCAAACCTACACTACAAGAATTTACACTTTTGCCGACTAAAAATTTGGTCGGCAAAAGTCTATTTTTAGTCGGCAAAAGTTATGCGCGACTAATTTTTTTGGTCGCCACTTTGGTCGTCAATTGAGAGTCGCGGAAAGTAATTAGTGACTAAAATTTTTAGTCGCGAAAAAGTCATATTTGCCGACTAAATTTTTAGTCTCTAAATATATAATTACTGCGACTAATCCATTTAGTAGCTAAAATACTTTAGTCGCGAAAAGTCATATTTTCCCAACCAAACATGTTAGTCGTCAATTCGCACATTCAACGATCAAATAGTTTGGTTGGCAATTGTCGCCCATTTCCACGACCAACAAATTTGGTCGCCAATTGTTACATTCTGCGACCAAAAAATTTGGTCGGCAATACATTCCACGACCAAAAATATTGGTCGGCAATATTCACTACACGAAATTGCATTTTTGGCGACTAAAAATTTGGTCAGCAAAAGTCAACTTTTTGTCGACAAAAGCTATTCGCGACCAATTTTTTTGGTCACCACCTTGGTCGCCAATTGAGGGTCGGCAAAAGTAATTAGCGACCAAAACTTTTGTTAGTCGGGAAAAAGTTAAATTTGCCGACTAAGTTTTTAATTGCTAAATATATAATTACTGCGACTAATCCATTTAGTCGCTAAAACACTTTAGTCGCAAAAAGTGACATATTCCCGACCAAACATGTTAGTCGCCAATTGCCACGTTCCACAACCAAAATATTTTGTCGCCAATTATCACATTCCACGACCAAAAAGTTTGGTCGCCAATTATCACATTCCACGACCAAAAGGTTTAGTCGCCAATTATCACATTCCACAACTAAAAAGTTTGGTCGCCAATTGTGACATTCCACGACCAAAAATTTTGGTCACTAATTGTGACATTCTAGGACCAAAAAGTTTGGTCGCCAAAAGGAATGTTTGCGCTAACATGCAAGAAAATAAACCTGTAATTCATAATAATCTATCCAATCTACTCAATACAATCTGTAATTTACAATAATCAATCAAACCAACAATTCACCTGAAACATGAACATTCAACAAACTATATAAATCATCAAACTCTGAACCTGTTTAATTAAAGTCAACAACTATTATAAATTTTTACCCACAAGTAATTCCAACCTACATATTCATTCAATTAAAAATCCGCTTGTAATCTATATAATCATCCAATTCACATCCACTTAGCATTAAAATTTAAAACATATTCCTTAAGTAAAGAGTAGAACTCCCTTCACAGAGCATCAATAGCTTTCATTGATTGAGCAAAAAGAAAATTCTTCCAACAGTATTCATATCCAGCTACGTCTCTTTCAGCTTCTTTCCAGGCCTCATAAGCCCGGACAAGAGCAAGGTTATCACTGTAATTACGTGAAAATTGTGCTTTTGCTACTTCTGCTAGCTGCAAAGAGAAAGACACACAAATCAATTAGTGAAATAGATAAGATAAGATACTCAATTTTCTAGCAAAAGCTATCTATTAGTGAAACCACAACTAAAATACCCAATTAACAACAATAGACATAAAATTATAATAGCATAAAAAGTCAAGAAAAATCATGATGTATCCGAATATTAAAGTTATAATAGCATTGGGCTGCTAAGGGGGCAGGAAAGGGAAACAAAATTACATTGTGGCACACTGTCAATGAAGATTTCGAAGTAGAAAAACATGAATCATCCATTATAATTTTGTACCTGTTGGCATGAACACAATGAATGATGAGAATCCATCACCCACTTTATTTTTACCTAAATTATATACATATTAACTTGATGTGCTGAGTAAGGAAAAAAAATTTACATTGATGATATGACATGATTATGGATACATGATATATTTCTCAGTAATTATTATATTAAGTATAATAGCAAATCGAGCTCCATGTAAATGTGACAGGTGCACATCATATCAAAATAGAGCATAAGCCAGAGCTAGCCACTGCAACCCCAGCTGCAGCAAGACCAGGCCAGGTCAACATAGCAAGGTTACAGTACCAGCAGCAGCCAGAGCAGCTAAAGTCAGAACAGATAGGGCTGTAGCTTCAGTCATGCTCACGTGTTATAAAGAGAACTAGCATAACTGAATGCTAATCCAATCCATCTAAACAAACATGGCCTGAGAGCGTTACAAAATGAACAATTCGGACCATTAAAACAGAAGTTATGATAGCCCATGGACTCCTTAAGTTGTCTCAAGTTCAAAGTTAAACTGGATATATATATACACACACACACACACACCAGATCACACAAGTCCAAAAAAAAAACCTATAAATAAAACCATTACTGAGGAGGAGCACCAATTCCACAAGAAAAACCTGAGCATCTGGAGAATGAATTGTAGCAAAGCTAAAATAATACATATTGGGTTGAAATATAATTGCAGAATTTTCTCCATCCAGTGGAGAGTAAAGAAAAGAGTATAATTACCCAAAAAGGAATTGGGAAAATGATGTAATAAGTAAACAAATTTATGAGACACAGGTCATAAAAAGTGTATGTACATAGTACTCAAGTATTGCAATCTCGGTCTTTTTTCTTTTCATATATATAGAAGGGGGTGGGGGATAGGAAAAAGAGTATTCCCACACCAATACCCTAATGTCAAGAAGTTCACAGTTCTATCATAATATGTACTCATTCATAGCTAAAATAAGATTTGAAAATGCCTCTGGAGTGTCCAAAACCGATTACAACGGTCCACGATTGATGATATATGTCATGTTGAATAGAATAATGACAATAATCACAATCTGCTGACCGGGGTTCCCCAAAAGCCGCTCCACTGCAGCATGAACATTCCCTGCAATGGCTATCAGTGCCTGTATATTCTCTCGGGTATCAAAGAAGCCCATTCTTGTAGCTGTGAGAGCTGAGTGGCATACAGTTCTTCCGGGGGCACTAAAAAAACAAGGCATAAACTGTGAGTAGATGACAAAGCATAAATCAGTAGGGCATAGGGGAAAACGAAATAATAGTCACCATCTGATCTGACAGGAACGGCAGGGCTTCCAATCCCAAGACCCCCAAACATATTCATCAACATCTCCAATCCCATGTTGTCAAGTGTTCCTGCTATTGGAAGAAAAGTAGCACACCCACAGTGAGATAAAATAACATACAACAATTTTTAAAAAATGAAAGAATTTTTTTCATATAATGTCTTCTTCCTTCGGCTTGTTTATTTTATTTTATTTTCCTTTTCTTTTATTTACCTGGGAAAGTAATTTTTATGGGTCAGGGGGTAACATCAAAAGATTACCACACCAACAGTCCTCGAGACTCTTTTGGAGTTCCCTATTGTAGAACTAACCATTGACAAGTTCCCTCTCATTGATTGCAACCAAGAATGTTAAAAACTTGATATAGATGTGGCAAGACAGGGTGCTATCATAAATGATGAGCTCCACTGTACAACATTTAAAATATACAACAAAACAATAGCATTAAGTCTATTGGAGGTATCACAAGTGAAGCCAAAGAGTAAATTCTTCTAGAGAAAAGCACAGGTTCCCCCACCGGTTTGACCTGCTTCCCTGCAAGAGTGCAATTTCGTTTAAGTAAACCAAGAAAAGAATGGGCATTAAAATCTGAACAACAAAATTCTATATAGGTATTGTGCAGGTGTATTAATTCATAAAAGACAATATTCAAATATTGGGCACTGGGCAGTAACACGGCCGCATTGATTGTGCCAAAAAATATATATTGCTATATGAATAATGCATGTGTAATGGACAAGGAAATGTTTATAATAAGATTGTCGGGCTTGAAGTTAGATTATGTTACCAAACAAATTTAGGAGGAAAATTACTTACTGGGTTGATGGTTGCCGACCAAGCTGAGACAAAAGAGTTTGCTGTAAAGTCATGAGTTGCTGAAACAGGGGAAAACAGGTGTTAAGAAAGAGGGAATCAAGAACGAAAGAAAGAAAGAAAGAAAGTGAAAACATTAAAATGAATATACAAAAAAATGGTTTATGCATGCATGCAGTCATGAATATACATATGCACTTTTTGGGAGGGAAAAGAAAGGGGGACTGCAACCTTTTCATCAATGAAAGCTCCCTCTCTAGGGTTTCCTGGTACATTCATGCTCTGCTGGAAATTGCAACTTAACTTGTTTAATGCAGTTTAACTTGCATTGCACCATGAAATTCCTATTTAAAATTTGTTTGATGCAAACTTAATTTGCACCATGAAATTGCATGAATTAATTAACATAGTTCCAAATCTCAATTATGGATTTCATTATCAATACTAAACTCATGATAAAAACTTTCCGCCCATAGCTTCCCGTGGGTACCTAAAAGTTGATAATAGTATAAAATTTAATTAAAAAATTATATGGAGTCTTCTTCTTTTTTTTTTTTAGTAAGTAAGATGATAATATTAAAAATATATGGTGCCTTGCATCAAAAGATTAAACTAAAAAAATAAAAGCAGAAAGGTGAAAACTTACCTACAGGTTTTCTTTACACTGAAATGCTTTTCTTACATCCAAAGTAGTCTAATGCAAAATGCAAAATTCATGCTCCTCATTTTTAAGGGGTTTTTAACTTGAAGTCTTATATATGGAACTTGTAGATCATTTAATCCTATTTATATTCTTTTAATCTTAAAAGTTAGATGCCTAACATGCTAACAAATGACTAAAACACCCACACATATATATGTACACGTTTCCCCTCCCTCTATACTTCAGTCAAATAAGTTGCCATAATTTAACCCATTCATGGCCCACATACACGTTTCCCCTCCCTCTATACTTCAGTCAAATAAGTTGCCATAATCTATACCCATTCATGGCTGTCAGACTTTTGGTTTTGTGTTGAGAGATTTGTTTACACCTGACTTCAATGCATAGTGCACCATTTCACACTATTCAAGCAAATGGGTGGTTGTCCTAACATAAATTTGAATATCAACCAATCATCTAGCATTATATGACATAATGTAGTACCAAAACATGATAGCCAAGGTACTTACTCATTTGGATTATTAATCTATATGTAGATACATATTTATAATAGTGTGAATTATTACAAAAGTGAATATTCACATTTATAATGAATAAAATAATGTGAATTTTTTGAAAGAGTAAAGGTCGTAAATGTGAAAATGTGAAAATGCATACTATTTTACTCATTGTAAATGTGAATGTTCACACTTAAAACTGTGACGCAATAAGTGTGAAACTTCACATTTTTTATCCATACAAATCTCCACACAAAAACAGGGAAATGTAACCATTTATCTACAAACCTCCACAAAAGACGGAAACTTCTATGGTATGCATACCATAAATGTAACCAGCTAATGCATATATACCATACATATCTCCACATACACACACACAAAACAAAAAAAGAAAGAAAGAAATATTTATGTCTACAATAAACCTAATGATATACTTACTATTTAGATCAAGTGTAAATATTATTAAAAGTACAAAATGGGACTTTTATCTCATAGCATTCTATATAAGTGGGACTGAATGGGTTAATTAAAAGCACATCTTGCCGGACACCGTTACATGGTTTGCAATTATCGGTGTTCTGTAGAGAAATTTTTGTGTACATCTTGTTTTCATTATTGCTACTCTTACATGAAGTATTTTTTCTTCTTTATGACATAATACTTACATTATTCATTTTCATTTCTTTTCTTGGACAAAAAAAAAAAAAAAACCATGCATCCACACGGAGTGACTGCAATTTAAGTCAATGACGTTCAAAAAACAGGGAAAACCAAAACAAACATGGGGTGAACTTGAGAGCGATAATAGATGTGTCACCAACTGATCTAGTGAAAACTATAACTACAAAAAGGAATGGAAAAATTAATTTTAAGTAGCTAACCGAAATACTTAGGACTTGGACAAAATTTGTAGAGGTAAACTAAAAACCTAACTGGTCCTTGACAAACAAACACCAATAAATAAATAAATAAATAAAAAGAATGAGAAACGAAACATTAACCACCACCGTTAAGCTTTTCTTGAAACATAATAAACAAATATATAAATCCTAAATAATTCTCATAAACTGCAAAACAAGATGTTAAAAGGCTAGTAAGCAACCAAACAAATTTTGTTGGGGAGGCACAAATTTTTTGAAGGTGAATGCATAACATGAGGTGTTTTACCCCTCATGAGGTGAGACATAAGCCTTAAGGTGTCGAGAAATAAGCATTTCGAATTTTGAATTTTTATATTTAGTAAATAAATTAAATATTTTAAAATAGTAAAAATTTAAATAAAAATTAATTTAAATGTGTAAATAATTTTCATCTCAAGGGGTTGAACATTTTACTATAGAGAAGGAAGCTTGCCTTCATTGAAAGTAAAATTGACATTCTTAGTTTAGTGATAGAACTTCTCACTTGAGCATTAATTTTGTGTTTTTTCTTGATTCATCATTTACTTAATTTTTTCTATAGGATGTAGTTGCAAAATATTTATTTTTTTTACTATTTTAAGTTTAAACTATCTGTTAGTAGACTAAGTTTAACAAGAGCCTAAGACAAGCTCTTCATATGTACTCCTCAAATGTGCAAAAGGCATACAAGGAGCATGCCTCAGACTGTGATGTGCAAGCTTTTAGGGAGATCAAAGCCTTGATGCGTTTTGCCTTAGCCTCTCCTTGAGGCAAGCCTCAGTAAAAACCTTTTAAATGCAGACCTTCATTTCTTTCATCAAATCAATACTTATAACATACATGTCTAATGTAGATAAAAACACGTATAGAGAGCGTGTGAGAGAGGTAGATTTTTCAAGCAATGTACCTGCATTGTTTCAGGAGAAGTCAATTGACGAATGAATTCTGGGTTTTGCATCATCTCCCTAAGTTGGGAATTGGAACCCAGCATATTGCTCTGCTGGGAATTGAGACCAAGAATCTAACAATTGAAAAGCATTAGGGAATAAGAAACTTCACATTTAAATACCAAGCTCAACATGTTTGCTAGCAGATGAATAACACCAGCATGCAACCAGATACAAGTGATAAGTCTCCATGCTTCATGTCCATGTACTACCTTGTCCCACTCTAAAGGTCCCAATTTTTCCAATCTGCAAAAGTAAGGGTAGATTGAAAATTAAGAATATCTACAAGTCTGCAGCTACAATTTTATTTATTTATGTATTCACGATAAAAGAGAACAATAAATTTTGCTTGGTCTGGGGGGGAGCATAAGAGTGAACTCTATGCATATACAAATCATTGAATTCTAGTATATCTATTACCACCTCTACACAAATGTAGTACAAGAATGAAAATATTTCCCAGTTTCTTCCTATTGAAGTCATGTTCTGTGATACATTTTCGACAGTGGCAGTTAAAACAATTAGATTTTATGATTACAGCTAACTCGGAAATTGAAATTAAGAAAGAGAAAATGGAAATATTGAGAAAAAAAAATGTGATGAGAATATCATCACATCCACAAAAGTTTCCCAGCAAGAAACCACAATATCTCATTTGTGATGAGAATATCATCACATCCACTAGTTCTGGCCAAGAAAATGTGTCATAAACTAACCTAATTGGATGATGACTCTAAAATATCTCATTTATCAATTTCTTTTTCAAAATAGTTGCAATTACTAAAACAGCCATAGTTGCTGTCAAACTTCCGATTGGTGTTACATCTAACTTCATCCTAATGTATTCATTTCTTTTTTTCTTTTTTCTTCTAACACTACTCATCCATCTCAATATTCTCATTTCAATTACACTCATTTTCAAAGCAGGTCTTATAGCAATCCTAAAAAAAATTTCCCTTCAACTTAATAGGAATTCTACAATTAAACAACACGCCTATTGCTCTCCTCAATTTTTTTCATCCCGTTCTAATTCTATAAAGCAAGAATGTGAAGCATAGATCCAAAGAAACTAACCATATAATGACAAGAATAACAATATTAATCAAATCATAAATGTGCATACATTTAGTCTTATCAACTGAAAGCTTAATTTATTATGCATGCAAATCACATATTGAAACAAAGAAACTAACCATGGTTGCCTGGGGGTAAACACCTAGTGAATGATGACCAACATTATCATATAATGACAAGCACCATCTTTTCTTTGCACGCGGGGAGTAGTACTCTGCGACAAACTTCCTCCAGTAGGCAATAGTATGGGTCTGTTAAATTAAATAGTGCCATGACAAAGTCAGGCCAAAACATAGAGCTCAATCAAAATTATGTATCTAAATGAACAAAGATTGAGTATGTTTATAGCCAAACAAATAGGAAAATGTCTGAACAGATCCAAAGTGGAGAAAGAATAAACAAGCTAGATGTAGTCAACAAGTAATCAACTCACAGGGGGTCGTTGCCGCTGATGATATAAATATTGCATTAGTCGACGAGAACATACACCATTATCATTGGGTCGCTTTATGGAAGACATAGGTTGTATACCCTGTTGTTGAAGTTGTTGTCTCAACTGCATCTGTTGCTGCTGCTGTAGCTGCTGCTGCTGCTATTGCTGCTGTTGCTACTGTTGCAGTATGTGGGCTCGCTGCACTGGTGGTATAGACTGCAGAAACTGTTGCCGCTGTTGTTGCATTCTCTGCTACTGAATTAAAGCTTGCAACTGAGGATTGTGGGTTTGTAATTGCATGGATTCCTGTCGCTGCAATGGTTGTTGCAGAACCTGCTGTTGCATAATGTCTTCCTGCTTGATATCCAATCGGGGTTTTTTCTGCAGCTGGGCTATATTATTGGGATCCTGTATGAAAGAGCCAGGGACATGTGGGCCGAGGGGAAGTGAAACTTGGCCCATTCTTGACGTGGGCAACGATGTAGCACTGGAAGCCCCTCGCTGCTGCTGACTTTGTGGCACCTGTTGGGAGCTTGGGTCTTGATTGGAGCTCTGTTGCACTACAGAGGAGCCGTCCATAACTGAAGAGCCCGAAATGCTTATATAGGTGTGGAAGCATAAAAAATCAGTTTCAATTAAATCATATCAGTTCTCAAGGTCTAAGCCTCATGATGCTAAATGGCACAGCCAGTTTAGCTTCGGCCTAATTTTCAATGTTTAGAAAATGGGGAAAAAATGACACAACCAGTTTGATATTTTTTTACTTTTAGTTGGTAGACGTTATTCATCTCCAATCAACACCATCTAAAAAACCACAAAGCAAGATAAATATCAATCCATTTTTAATCGATTACAGGCAACCAATGTGAAGCAAATTGGCATGGAACAACATTTTTCTAAGTTGAGCTTGTCTTTGACTTATTATAAAGTTTTGAAAGCCCAGACACTGGTTTGAACTCAACAATATAAAACACAATTTAAATCAGCTTTGTTACATAGTTTCAGAGCAAACCCAACTTCATACAAATACAAGGCAATTAAATCAAAATGTTTAATCTCAAATCATGCTTTTTATACCACATTTAAAATAAATACTTGGTGCTTTCAATTGTTTAGGAAAGGAAGGTTTGAGGAGGGGTTTCAAGAATGGATTTCACAGATATAGAGGTAAAGAGGGGAAGAGTGAAGGAAACCATTTGCCCACTACATGAATGGCGGTGGCTGGGTTGATTTAGAGGTAGGTTTGCGTGAAGAAGGTATGCGGATGAAAGAAGAAAAAAACCCTAGAGGCCGAAATTAGGGGAGCAAAGATAGAGATATAGAGATACATATATATATATATATATAGAGAGAGAGAGAGAGAGGACATACCTTGGCTAGTGCCCCAATGATGGATCGTGACTACAAGATAAGATGATATCAACAATGATTCATCCCACTAAAAACATCACCACTAATAGCACTAATGCATTAAAAAAGTAAAAAAAAATTAAAAAAATACAACTCCAAGACCAAAACATCACATCATTAATGGCGGGACCCACTGCCACCTAATTAGTGAGAGCACTAATTAGTGCTCCCAAGCATTTTTCAAGATGATATAGGCTGTTGGTTTGCGATGGTCCTCATGTGCGACAGGCGTCGACGCCGATGGTGCTCCTGTACCAACGGCGATGGAGACAAAAGCGAGAGAGAGAGAGAGAGAATCGGAGCTGGGCAGATGCGAGAGACAGAGACAGTCGCAGACTGAGAGAGTCACAGAGTGAGAGAGAGAGACGAACATGTTTTTAAGCCCTAAGTCACATAGAACAATCTGATTGGTTTGTGTTTCTCAAAAAATTTTGAGAAAAATTCTCTACAAATAAGTTTTCAAAAGTAATCAAATCAAACAAATTTTTTCAAAAAAATTTCCCAAAACTTGTTTGGTTTACAAGTTTTCCAAATAAATCTCTCACTCATACACATCAAATCAATCACTTTTTCCAAGACTCTCTCTCAAAATAATTTTCCAAAACATCTTTTGAAAAAAACCAAACCAAACAACTTTTCGTACTTTTTATCTCTAAAACTCATCTCCCAAACTCAAACCAAACATACTATGGTTTCCCTCTAAAATTTCCACGTCTGTGGCGACAAAATTAATTTTTGGTCGGCAAATATTATTATTTGTGACCAAATATTAAAAAAATTGCTTAAAATATTAAAAAAATTCATTCAAAATATTAAAATACGAAAAATTAAAAAGTAAAATTTTTTAAAAACTGGAAACAAACAAGTTGAATGTTATTTGTAACTAGTGTATCATGGACAATACAAAAAAATATATAGATATAAGCTTTAAAATAAATTATATAATGATAAATTATTTTTTGATACAAAATTTGATTAAAAATTCAATATAATGATAACACCACATCATCATTGATATGTGATATCACCCACTGATGGTAAATAATAGAGAGTGAACCTCACATGTTAAATGTAACTAACAATCCAATAAATTTCATACATTTATAGTGAGATTGTTTATCCTTGCATATCACTAATAATGACATCGCCATTACATTCAAAAAATTTCATAGCTAATATGGTTTATTTATAGTAGTTTCTTCATTTTCAATTAAAATAACCATTATTGATCTCATAATTTTTAAAATTTCATTGACATTTTACTCTAATAATATTTTTGTAATTTTTTATTTAAAATATTTTCTCTATGTTTGCAAAAAAAAAAAATTCCCAAAATCCAGGGGGGCACATGACCCCCGTGGTTCCATCTTCCCTCCGCCACCGGCTACCAGTATAAATTAAGTATAAGATGAAACTATAAGATAAAATTACTTTAGTCAAAGAGAAAACAGAGACAGAGACAGAGAGAGTCACAGAGTAAGAGAGACAGATATTAGTGGAAGAGAGGGACAGAGAGAAGGAAAAATAGAGAGGACACACTGGGGTAATGCTCCAATAGTGGATCGACGATAGTGCTTGATGGCAGTGATGCTCCTTACCCGACGGCGATGGAAACAAAGCGACAGAGATTCAATATCATGAGGAGGGCAGCAATGGAATGAGAGAGACAGACAGACATATAGAGAGAAAGAAAGAGAGAAGAGTGATGAGTGTGAGAGAGACAGAGAGAGAAAGAGATAGAGATAGAGACAGAAGAAACAAGAGATGAGTGAGAGATAGACAAAGAGAGCGAAAAGATATGATTGAGAGAAAGACATAGAAAAAAAGAGAGATAGAGAGAGAAGAAAGATGGGTGGGAGAGACATAGAGAGAGATAAAGAAAAGGGAGATGAGTGAGAGAGATAGAGAAAGAAAAAAGATGAGAGAGATAGAGAGAAGAGAGATGAGCGAGAGACAAAGAGAAAAAAGAGATAGAGACAGAGACAAAGACAAACAGACAGAGAAGAGTGATGAGTGAGAAAGAAAAAAAGAAGAGACAGACAGACAGACAAAGAGAGAAAGAGATAAAGAGTGAGAGACAGAAAAAGATACAGAGAGAGAGGAGAGATGAACGAGAGAGACAGAGAGAGAGATAGAGAGAAGAGAGATGAGCGAGAGAGACATAGAGAGAAGAGAGATGAACAAGAGAGATAGAGAGAAGAAAGATGAGCGAGAGAGAGATAGAGAGAGGAAAGATGAACAAGAGAGACAGAGAGAGAGATAGAGAGATGAGAGATGAGCGAGATAGACAGAGAGAGATGAGAGATGAGAGAAGAGAGATGAGCAAGAGAGATAGAGAGAAGATAGATGAACGAAACAGACAGAAAGAGAGAAGAGATAGATGCGTGAGAGACATAGAGAGAGAGAGACAGATAAACAGACAGAGAGAGAAAAGTGATGAGTAAGAGAGAGAAAGAGAAGAGAGAGAGGAAGATGAAAAAAAGGGTGAAGAGAGACAGACAAAGAGAGAGAGAGAGAGAGAGAAAGAGCGAAAAGAGATAAACGAGAGAGATACAGGGAGAGATGAGCGAGAGAGATAAAGAGAAGAGAGACAGAGAGAGAAGAGAGATGAGAGAGATAGAGAGATAAGCGAGAGACACAGAGAGAGAGACAGACAGACAGAGAAGAGTGATGAGTGAGAGAGAGAAAGAGAAGAGAGAGAGAGACAAAAACAGAGACACAGAGAGAAAGATAGAAACAGACAGAGAAGAGTGATGAGTGAGAGAGAGAGAAAGAGAGAGACAGGTAGACAGAGAAGAGAGATGAGTGAGAGAGAGAGAAAGAGAAGAGAGATAGAGACACAGACATAGAGAGAAAGAGAGAGACATACAGACAGAAAGAGAGAGAAAGAGTGATGAGTGAAAGTAAATTTTTATTTTTTTTTCAGCGACTAAATTATTTTAGTTGCTAAAACTATATATACAGTGACCAAAATATTTTTTAGTCGCTGAAATTAAATTTTTGTCGACCAAAATTTTGGTCGCCGAAGATAAAAAACAAATTTTTATTTTTCATACAATGACTAAATTATTTTAGTTGCCAAAACTATCTATACCGCGACTAAAATATTTTTTATTCGCTGAAATTAAATTTTTGCCGACAAAAATTTTGGTCGCCAAAGATAAAAAGTAAATTTTTATTTTTCATTCAGCGACTAAATTATTTTAGTTGCCAAAACTATCTATACAGCGACCAAAATATTTTTTAGTCGTTGAAATTAAATTTTGCCGACCAAACTTTTGGTCGCCAAAAATAAAAAAAAAAATTTTATTTTTCATTCAACGACTAAATTATTTTAGTTGCCAAAACTATCTATACCGTGCCTAAAATATTTTTTAGTTGCTAAAATTAAATTTTTGCCGACCAAAATTTTGGTCGCCAAAGATAAAAAGTAAATTTTTATTTTTCATTCAGCGACTAAATTATTTTAGTTGCCAAAACTATACATACAGCGACCAAAATATTTTTTAGTCGTTGAAATTAAATTTTTGCCGACCAAAATTTTGGTCGCCAAAGATAAAAAGTAAATTTTATTTTTCTTTCAACGAATAAATTATTTTAGTTGCCAAAACTATATATACAGCGACCAAAATATTTTTTGTTGAAATTAAATTTTTGCCGACCAAACTGTTGGTCGCGAAAGAAAAAAATTAAATTTTTATTTTTTTTCAACGACTAAATTGTTTTAGTTGCCAAAACTATATATACAGCGACCAAAATATTTTTTAGTCGCGGAAATTAAATTTTTGCCGACCAAAATTTTGGTCGCCAAAGATAAAAACTGAATTTTTATTTTTCTTTCAGCGACTAAATTATTTTAGTTGCCAAAACTATCTATACAGTGATCAAAATATTTTTGAGTCGCTGAAATTCAATTTTTGCCGACCAAACTTTTGGTCGTGAAAGATAAAAAGTAAATTTTTATTTTTCATTCAGCGACTAAATTATTGTAATTGCCAAAACTATATATACAGCGACCAAAATATTTTTTAGTCGCTGAAATTAAATTTTTGCCAACCAAACTGTTGGTCGCGAAAGATAAAAAATAAATTTTTATTTTTCTTTCAGCGACTAAATAATTTTTGTTGCCAAAACTATCTATACCGCGACTAAAATATTTTTTAGTCGCTGAAATTAAATTTTTTCTGACCAAACTTTTGGTCGCCAAAGATAAAAAGAAATTTTTTATTTTTCTTTCAACGACTAAATTATTTTAGTTGCCAAAACTATATATACAGCAACAAAAATATTTTTTTAGTCGCCAATTGTGGCAAATTTAGCGACTAAATTTTTTTAGTCGCCAATTGTGAGATTTTTAGTGACTAAATTTTTTTTAGTCGCCAAAAATTAATATACCCTGACTAAAAAAATTTAGTAGCTAAATATTGTACTTTTATCGACTAATATAATTTTTGGTCCCCAATTCCACATCTTTTGGCAACCAAAATATTTTTAGTCGGCAAAAGTGGTCGCCAAAACTATATTTTCTTGTAGTGCTACCATAAAAAATGGTTACACCTTCCAGTAGTTTGAATGAAAAAACTAAAAATTATCGGTGCTATATATAAACCATAATAGGATAGTCCCATTACATTGATACTTTCTAGCTATATATGAACCATAATGGGAAAAGTGTTCCAACACTAAATCACAAGGAAAGAAAATAAATTTAACCCAATAAAAAAACATAAAATATACCTGTGAAATTAAAAATTTATTTTGAGTGTAGTGTGAACTATTATTAAAGGGTAAATTATAACTTAACCCCTGTGGTTTACCCAAAAAACACGGAACCTCCCTATAGTTTCATTTGTAACACCTAAACCCCTTATACTTCATACCAAAGTACAATTGTGGACGGACGTAACAGAAATTGTAAAAAGTCTAAATTGCCCTTATTTATTTCTCTAATTTTCTTCTTAATGCCATTATAAACCACCAGACAACAAACTGTATAGTCCGTTTGGTCTTGATAGTGGCAACTACTGCAATAACATCCTTTGGAACAATATCTCCACGGTACATCAAATAGCAAGCCATATATTTCCCATGCCTTGGATCACATTTCACCATCATGCTTGCAGGCTCAAACACTGAATTTGTGATCTTATGTATAGATAGCTGCTCATGGTATGCTTTCGTAAATGGCTTCATTGTCCAAAAGCACAGCCACATCTGTGTGCTCGGGAAGGGAGTGCGTAGAAAGAACACTGTTATAAGGCTCCACAACTGCAGTAGAGACCTGCAATAAACAAATTTAGCTGCACCTAAATCAACAGAACCATAGCTAGAATGATAATGTTTCTAGTCACAACTTTGATGCACATATTGAGCAAAATTCATGCCATTTTTAACCGGTAGTAGAAGTGCTTTTTTTTTAAAAAAAAAATTTAATTTTTTTATATCAACCATAGGTAGTAGAGGTGTTGATATTTCACTGAAACTCAATTAAAAAGAACAATAATTTTTAACTTCATATTAACTAGTATTATTCTAGTTCTATGTCGATCAAAACAAATAATCACTACAACAAAAGTAACTTATGGTGACGAAAACTAGTGAATAAAATAAATTTCGTCACTATATAAAAATAATTCGTGAGGAATTTATAAATTTTGTCACATATAATAAAAAAATAAAAATGATAGGTGACGAAATTTATTTTCGTCAATAAATTCTTCATTTTAAGTGAGGAAAAATTAATTTTCATCACAAAAAAATTTCCCACTAATTTTTGGGTAGCGCCAAAATTTTGAGACTTTTGGTGAGAAAAAAATTTGTCACTGATTATAAAATTATTTGTGAGGAATATATTTTCGTCACCAAAACTTTTTAATATTTTTGAGATCTTTTGGTGAGGAAATAATATTGTCACCAATTTTGGTGGGAAATTTGTGATATATTGAGTGGCAATAAAAAAAAAGGGAATTAATTTTTTTATCCCTTTTCCGTTTATCATCTCTCTCTCTCTCTCTCTCTCTCTCAAAATAGGGTATTAATTTGTCTTACCTCTTGCTCCTCCACCACGCCGATCGCCATCGTTGTTGCCTTTTTTAGCCTTGTCGATCGCCGCCGCCACTAGTAGCCTTGCTGGTAACCGCCGCATCTTCTTCGCTCGCCAATTTGGTACGCGATTTCTCTTTGTTTTTTTTCTAGTGTCTCTTTCTCTTATTCTCTATTTTGGTATGGTGACAAAAATTAGTGAAGAAAACAAATTTCGTTACTAAATAAGAATAATCTATGAGGAATTATAAATTTTGTCACGTATAATAAAAAAATAAAAATAATAGGTGACGAAATTTATTTTCGTCAATAAATACTTATTTTTAAGTGAGAAAAAAAATAAGTTTCGTCACTGAAATTTTTCCCACTATTTTTTTTTTGATGACGCCAAAATTTTGAAAATTTTGATGAGAAATTTTTTTTATCACCAATTAAAAAATTAATGAGGAATATATTTGTGTCACCAATAATTTTTATTTTATTTTATTTTTTGAAAAACTTGATTTTAAATATTTTAAGACCATCTGGTGAGAAATATATTTTTTTCATTAATAATTTTTAATACTTTCAGGCTTTTTAGTGAGAAAATTATTTTGGCACTAATTTTGAAAGAAGAATTTTGGCATATTAAGCAGTAATGAAAAAAAATAGTCTATTATCCCCCCCCCTTTTTTTTTTTGTGTGTGTATTGATTAGTTTTCCTATCAATCTCTATCTCACTCACTCTCCCTCTCAAAACAAAACACAAGTGCTGTGTGTTTTGTTTATTGACGAATCAATTTTCTTATCAATCTCAATCTGTATCTCTCTCTCTCTCTCCCTCTCCCTCTCAAAACAAAAACACAAATGCTGTGTGTTCTTCTCCAGCGCCCCTTCAGTATGTTCTTCTCCAGCGTCGTTGCCAACGTCCTTGTTCTCCTCCTTCAGTGTCGCCACAGACGTCGTATCTCCTTTACTGCTGTGTGTTTTCTTCCATCAGGTATCGGTCCTCTCTCTCTCTCTCTTTCTCTCCCTCCCTCTCACTCAATTTCTCTATTTTTCTATCTCTGTTTTCCCTAATTTTCAGAATTACTGCTGTATTTTATTCTTTCCAGCAAGGTTTCTCTTCAATAAATTGTGAATGTGTAAATTGTAAACTTGGCAATCCTCAATGTCTTTTGATTGTTTTTGCTATAAACTTGAGAATGAATGTCCTATTGATTATAATTAACAGTTTGAAATTAGTAAAAGCCATTGACTAAATGTGAATATTTTATATTATTTGGATTGATTGTTTGTATTTTTAATAAAATTAGGGTTCAATTCCTCTATATTTGAATGTTTGTTTAATGTCTGTTTATTTTATAGGTTTTTCTACTTACGTTATTCATAAAAAAATAAAATTGATTACTTAGGTCATGAGATCGATTGATTCCTTTGCTTCTCTGATCATCCTTGCTATCTGGACTAGCCTCCTGATTCTTCTTGGATACCATGCCTGGCTATTTGAGGATCCTTGTAGATGCCTGATGCTCTACTATTGCCATTATTTCTTGCCCTTGTTTTAGTTGGCTGTGGGCATATTCTCTTTGAGTAGTTCCTCCTTACAGGCTGCTTTGAGATCTCCTTCTGTTAGCAAGTTCACAGACCCTATCTCTCTTTGTTTATGTGGTTTCTAAACTTGGATAGAGTTTTCTTTTTAGTTATTTTCTTTTCATTTAGCCTTGCCATATAACATACATAGAAATAGTTCTACCTACTTCACTCCAACTATGGACATGAGAAACAGAAGCTTGTCATTGACTTCCATAAGATCAGATGGTTGGTTTTTATATGAGGCAGGCTCGGGTGTCTCTGCATAGGAAAAAATGTGGTACTACAATTTCACTCAACCCACCACTCACCACCACTCCCTTAAACTATTTATATTCTCATAGATACTCAACCCACTTTCCCTAATAAGAGGCCAGATTGACAACTTGCAAAGCACACATTTGCTCTCACCTGTATTTAGAATCAAAAATAAGTTCAGGTCACAGTTTTTTTTTTTTCTTCTTCTTGGAATGACACCTTGAATTTTTATAAACAAAGCACCACTCTATCATGTATGATAAATTTTGAGCTACCCTACCTATGATATGATGATAGAGTTTGCAATAGAAGACAATAATTAGGGGCTTCAAGGTTGAGGGTAGTCAGTACATGCAAACAAAAGGTTAAATCTATTCTCACTCCATACCTCCTATAACCTTACACTGGTTAGGAAACATTGGGTAATGATATTTAAAAAAAAGAAAGAAAGAAAAGAAAACATGGGGTAATGATCTTTTCTTTTGGACATTTTATCACCGTAACCATGCAGCTACAAATCATGTTAAGTTTACCAAATCATAACAAGAAACTTTAACTGATTCTAACTTTAAAGGTAAATAGACTTGCAACTTTTTGTGCAAGTCTCCACAATGCACACTATGCATTGAGTGGCAAGGAACAGAAGTGTGGCTTTATTTATTATGGATTAGCAATATAGGCATATTCCTTTAACTGGGTTTGTTATTGATATTTTAATTTGGGTGCTTGTATAATTTTTATAATGTTTAAGAACACTAGAAGAGTCCAAATCTTATGAAGTTTCCAAACTGTAGTTGTCCTGGTTGTATCTAATGCTTTTTTATTTAGAAATGGAGATATATTTTCTGCTCTTTTATTGATAACTCTCAGGTTTTGGTATGACTACTAGTAGACTCTTCCTTCTAGTCTATAGGCATCTTTTTTCTACTTTGAAATGCTTTCTGGTATGTGGATGGCTTTATTATTGTTCTTCTAGTCACCCACATCAAGAAGTTGTAGGTATCTTATTTATTTATTTTTCTCCTGTTTGTTATTGCCTTTCTCTGCCTCAAATTAGTGTTTTTTTTTTTTTTTTTTGAAACCTTGGAATTGTTTTTATTTTAAATATCCGTTTTCCTTTAATTATTTCACCATGAGTTCATGACTGTTAAGTGATGTATTTGCTATAAATTTAAATTGAACTATTGGTATAGTCTACGTTATCACACCTAATTACACAAAAATATTCTACTACTATAATTTTCACAGCAATAGCAATATTCAATGGACTTTCTAGATATTCCCATCAATCAACAGTGCTTTTGAAACTCAATTTCTCAAGTTTCAAGAGTTTGAAGTCCTTTCCTCTCAAGAGGAAGACCAACGACATAATTCAAGCCTCTACAAGGGAATAAAGCCTCCAACAACATCCTACCATCCTATGGTAATAACGATAAAACATTGACGCCAAAAGATGTATATGGACAACAAAAAATTAAATAATCCAGAAGGTTGAACATGCAACTCTGGGGAAGAAAATAAAAGAAAAGAAAAAAAGAGAAAGGACAAGAAAAGACACGGTACCATTGCAACTGTTGTTTTGAGAGACAAACCATGAACACGGGGCACGATTAATTGCTTAACTAATTGCAAAAAAATTAAAATTGATAAGCACAAGAAGGTTAGAATTATCAACTAAAGTAAGTTTAGAACTGTATTACTGGCTAATATTTCGTTATGCTTTTGTATATATTTTTTTGTTCCTAGTGTGATTTTGTTAACATTTGCCTAGATGTGGGTATCCCAATTCTTTTAGCTATTCTGTAACAATGCATCAAGGGATAACTTTTTGTCATTACCTATTTGCCTTAATTATGGATGAATTGACTCAAACACATTTAGGATAATGTTGTATGGTGTATGTAGTTTGTAGATTATTATTCTAGTGGATGAAACTAACAGAGGAATCAACCTTAAAATAGAAATTTGGAGAGAAGCAAATTTTATAGAGAATAAACCATTAGGAGAAAGGGTCCAAATAAGCTTATCAGGACCAGTCTTGGGAAGAAAAGGAGTTGACTGGATCAGATTACAAATATCAACAATGGCCTTGATGAGTTTCCATATACATATCTTTACTTATCCATTTTTATGTATTTATTGTTTATGCTTTTGTATTATGTGTTTTAGGGCTTACCAATGCCACCAAAATGATTGGTGCAGTCATTTCTTCAACCTTGGCATGAGGCAATTGTTGTTCCGAATGGGGATTTACATGACAATGTGGAGACCCAACACTCATAACCACTTGATGTCAATATAGAGGCATCGAGGGAGGTAGCCCCCCAATCTAGTGTCAGTAAGATGCTGAATTTTACTATTAAAATGAAATTCTCTATTTTAATATAATTCTATGGTGCAAAAGTACAGACTCTAATGAAAACAAAAGAACAGACTCTAATGAATGTTCTAGACCTTGAGTGCCTAATAGTTAAAGAAAACTTGAGTGCCTTACTGAAAACAGAGCTTTACTCTAATAAATTCCAAAGAAAGTTTCTCTGTAACTTAAGTTACAGAGAAAGTTTTCAGTAAAATTTTCTTACTGACCTTGAATGTCTAACTGTTAAAGAAAACTATGTTCTCTGAAAACTTTCTTGGTGCAAAATTCCTTTATTACTGAAAACTTTTTTTTTGAAATTGAACCTTAAGATGAACAAATGAACAGACTCTAATGAATGTTCATTTCTCAGCTCTAAGCTAGACACACACACACGCATAACAGTTAAAGAAAGAGAAGAGTAACTATCTAACTAATAACCAACATCTGGAACCAAGAAACATGGAAAGGCTTGGTAAATATATCAGCAACTTGGTCCAAAGAAGCAACATAAGAAACCACTATCCGTTTTGTGCAAACAAGAGAATTCAAGATTATAAGAAGAACGAAGAAGCTGTAGAGGTAGGAAAGAGTGAAGAAACAAGAAAATGGAAGAGCAAATATAACTGTGAGAAAGAGAAAACAACTTGAGAAAGGAAAAGCATCAACTTGAGAGTAGAGAACAAAGATGCAGCTGTACCTGTGTGGCTGCTGGTAGTGCTGTTATGCAAGGCTCTTAATGGCAACAAGTGTGTTCCAGTCATAGTCATCCCAATTTATACCTTCTGTTCCATGTATGAATCTCTAAATGCTTGCTTTAAAGCTAATGGCCAACCAATATTTGGACCTTTCCCAAAAAATGTAATGTTTATGGCCCACTTGTAGATCGGTTTAAGGGGCAAGCGATCATCATAAATCATAGCAAGTTGCAGAAATTATCGTGTGTCTAGTCTACAAATTAGTGCTCTTACTATGGTTGCTGTCATTTTAGAACTATATTGTTTTTCCTTTTCCTTTATTTTTCTTGTATTGTTTTATTCCTTTGTGAAGATAGGTCGGGTTCTAGCCAATGAAACGACAAACATGACATGGAACACCATTTAATCAACCATGAGCTGAACTATATTTCCCTTTTGATGTTCTGATTAGTTAATTCTGTTTCAAAGTTTCAGCTTCTATGCAATGTTAATTTTAAGGTATTTTTCACAACATGTGCAACGTTTTACCAGTACCTTTTCCTTTTTTGTGGGTTGAAAGGAAAATGTTCTAAGTGGTCATTACAAAATAATTTGTTTTGGATTTGCTTCTGAAACCTCTTGAGTGCAGGGTTTGAAGTAGTTACTAGAAAGCAAAGCAAGAATGGTAACATTAGATAAGGGTGTGCCATTGACTTTGATATAACAGTGAACACAATTTACTTTAGCATTTTTATTGGCTTCAAATTATTCTCTTCATCAATTGAACCTCTGTAGACAATATTGCTTGTTTTGTGACTCTCATGATTTCATTATGGAACCATCCTTGGCATTTAGATACCCTTTAAGTCAAGCGTGTTTTGAGTACTTTCTCTTGTTGTCAGACTGAAGAGCTTTTAGTCCACACAACTTAATCTCTAGTTTTGCTTGCTTTTTCTCTCTTGAGGGTTGTGCAACTATATTTTGTATTGTTTTGGCTAGTCTATTGAGTGTTCATATTCCTTGTTTCCTCATGTGGCAAATGAACATTCCTTTGTGTGATTTATTTTATGACGATTCTCTTTATAGTTTATTTAGTTTAGTTTATCTGTTTGGTTTTGTTTCTCTTGTATAGCTCTAGTTTTTTTTTTTGTTTGGTGTTGTAGGGCCTGGGGAATGCCCCTTGTATAGCGATCCCGGGTTTACCCTTGTTGTACAGTGATCCGGACATGTGTCCGTGGATGTTAGTAGTTGGTTATTATCGTGTTTACATTCTTTTTTCTTCATATTTGAGTTATAGGATGTGTTGGGCAGGTTTGTTACAGGTTGGTTGTGTTCGGGAGCCTAGTGTTGCTGCCCAGAATTTTGGACCTTCGCTCGAGCGAGGAGTTGGTCGCTCGAGCGAGAGTGGGGTTCGTGTTTGGTGGGTCGAGCCAGAGTGGCTCGCTCGAGCGAGCGGTTGCACCTGGTTCTGGACCTGAGAGTTGTCTTTCTTGGCTCGAGCGAGCTTCCTTCGCTCGAGCGGTCTGGATTTTTCTTCGCTCGATCGAGAACTTCTTGGCTCGAGCGAGAGTTTTCTGTGTCTGGTCGCTCGAGCGACCAAGCCTTCGCTCGAGCGAGCGTGTTTTATATCAGCGACAGCAGCGTCTAAAACATCACTTTTTCACTTTCTTTTTGATCCAAAACCCTTAATCCGACACTCTCTCTCTCTAAACTTGCACTCTCTCTAAGATTTGATCTCCCTAGGGTGTGAATCTAGCCTAGGGCCTTTGTTAAAAAGATAGAGGGCGTTGAGAGCTTCGATTTAATCTGAAAAAGTTTGGATTTGGAGCACGTTGATCTTCGAGTCTTCATCTCCTTTTTGGCTAAAACTTCAAGGTAGGGATATCCTACTCCTCTCTATGGATTTTGTCTTTAAATTTTGGTATTTTGAGATGTTGGGCTTGGTTTGGTAATTTTGTGAAAGTTTGGGACTTTTGTGTAATTTTACAAAAAATCGGGGTTTTAAATATATAAACCTATATGATTTATGCACTTACGTATTTATAGCATGTGAACATATAAAAAAAATGAAGTTTTGGGGTGTGAAAACCTTACGTTTGGGAGGAGATAGGGGATGAACTCCGTAGACGGAGCTCATATGCTTGTCTAGAGAAGTGAAGATAGAGCTCATATCATATCTGTTGTAGAATGTGGATATAGCTTATATGCTTATCTGTGGATATTGTGGTTATACATATCTGTTGTAGAGTGTGGATACAGCTTGTATGCTTATCTGTGGATATTGTTGTTATACATATCTGTTGAGAATGTGGATGTAGCTTTTATGCTTATCTGAATGTGAGATATTGTTTTTATACATATCTGTGGAAATGTTGATAGAGCTAGCATGCTTATCTGTTGAAAAGGGGAAAATGAAAAGTAATTGGGACTTGTAAGTCGTTGACATAAATATGTTATTTATGTGATTGTATCAGTGTTGACCAACTATCAATTGCTAATGTTTTAGTCATTGTCCATGGTTGGTTTAGTGTATTTCTACTGGGCTGTGGCTCACCCTATATGGGAATATCATTTTCAGGTGCAGGAAGCATGCCACCTCCAAGGACATAGCTGGGAGGCTAGTGGCGGACATACTTTTGTCACTTAACTTTTGATGTATTACATGTAACTTCAAGCCTAGGGCTTAATGTGTTTGAGTTAGTACTCTTTGTTGTAACCAAGTGTTTACTTGGAAAACTGTAAACCCGTAGGGCATTTTGTTATGATGTTAACATGTAATACTTATGTAATGGAACTCTAAGGAATAAAGGAATGTGGTTAGTTTATATGTAAATGCATGTCTTATCTGATGGGTTTAATGTTGTTATTTTGAGGGCGTTACACCTTGTATATCTCTATATGTTATCATTTTATTTTATGACTTATTCAACAACAACAACAAAAAAGTTGCTTATATTGCTTTTATGATTTCACTTTAATTAATTACTAACCAGTCAATGTTATGTTTTTGCAATAGTGCCTAGTAAACACCCTTGCGGCTTGACACGCGGGTTGAAGGTTCAAGCAATGGTTGAGAAAGATGGAAAGCTCAAAGTTCCCATACCACAGGAGTATTGTGCTCCAATGGGGGATCGTGCCTCTCAATTAGTCACCAAAATTGGTGTTGAGATCCGAACACACTTGCCAGACTTCAGCATTCGCAGGTGGAAACATATCAACGAATAAGCTACGGCACCTACATTTCAGCGTCTAATGGTAAAAGTTTTACATAATTGATTGAATTCATGTAATATAATGAATTATGACTCACAATATTTGTGGCTGTTGCTAGGATCAATTTGACATACAAGGTGAATCCACAAATGTTAGCAAAACGGTGGCAACAAAGTGTGGATAGAGCTTGAGCACCCACACCTACCAACTACGAATAAAATACTTGAACCTTAAAAGTGCTAAGGGAGAGGAGTATGCTAGAAGCCACCCACCGCCTGAATGTGACCTTGAGAAATGGAAAAACTTGATTGACAAGAAGTGGAATGATAACAATTGGCTGGTAAACTTTTCTTATGTTTATTTATTGTTGACAATTACCTTGTCTTCCTAATATATATATTTTACTATTGGAACTTACTCCTTATAGAAGCAATCAATAGCTAACATTGACAATGGAAATCAATTGAAGACGAAGCATAGATGTGGGTCAAAATCTCTCCCAGTTAGGGTACACGAGGTGATGCATCTTCTTTAAAAAAAAATTTCCTTTTTTTTTTTTAAAAAAAAGATGATTCTACTACCATCATTCTTATTTAACTTAGTAGTTGGAAAAAAAAAAATATCAGACAAGCGCAAATGGGGGCCAACTGCCAAAGTTGTCATGTGTTTACAAATCCACACATTTTAATAATGTCACAAAACAGTGGATTTCTCCAGAGTGCGAAAAGAATTATGTATGTATATTTACCTTTTGCATTAGGATGATTGCAATTTTTATTGTATCTTTATTCCCTTTTCTATTTTTTTTAAAAGATAGGATAATATGATAAAGATCCAAGCTGAACATGACTCCCAACCTGGTATGGTTTCAATTACTCTGGAGGAGCTATCTGTGAAGGTGCTCAAGCGAAGGTTGGGATATGTTAAAGGACTTGGGTTGAGGCCTTCCTTCTCTGTTAGGACTACCAGTGCTTTGACTAACAGTGACTATGTGAGGCGTCTAGAGATGGAAATACAAGAGCAAGGAGGAAATTCATTCACAAAAAGAGGAAATTCAAGCACAAAATAGTGTGATAGGGAAGACGAATGAGTCGCTTGAGGAGAATTTTGAGATGACATCAAGCATCATGGAGTTTCTTAAGAAGCAAGGTTTCAAAGGACAATTTAGAGGAGGAGGTATCCCATGAACTCGTAGATCGCCATTTTGGTAAGTCTCTCCTGTTTTATGTTTTTATTTTTGTAATGTTGGTTAGTATATACTAGTTAAAGCACAACAGTTTCACTAATTATTAACTAAGATTTAACAAGTTTGATGATGTATTTAATGAAAATAGATTCATTAGTTACTTCTTACTTAGCATAACCCTTGTTAAAATACACAATAAGCCAAGTAGAGACAAAACTATTTGTATACATTTTTGTGTATTTTTGCTACACAGTGTTGCGGTTGCTCTAAGTTAGTGATGTGATTAACAGGATCTTGCCATGTAGAAAGGAACTTTTGCTTGTTAAGCTAGACTTATTGTGTACACAATTTGTATTAAATGGATAGAGAGGTCTACGCAATGTAATTGATAATATGTTTTTTTTTTTTTCTTTATTTTTTTTGCAGATTGGTTTTTGATGATGTCTGGAAGCATTCTTGCAAATGAAGATCAAGTGTTGAATTTTTGTTTATTTATTTATTTATTTTCTGAACTGATGCTTAGTTTTAGTTGCAAATCAAGATCGAGTGTTAATTTTTTTTTTTTTTTTTGTGGACTCCATGTTAGTTTAATTTGGGACAAGTTTAGTGACGATTTTTTTTCGTCATTTGTACTTATTATTATGACAAAGTGATTATTCGTCGCTAATAAATTTTTTTGTGACAAAATTTATTGCAGCTTATATATGAAAGTGTTCATTGGTTTTGTTGTTTGGTGACTAAAAATTTCATCACACAAATATATTTTTGCCACGAAATATATTTCGTCACCCATGTATGATGTTTGGAGACGAAAACTTTTGTCAACTTTACATCTTACTGTGACGTCTTACTGTGACGAAATTATTCCTCATCAATGATCAACATGTGTGACAAATTTATTTGTCAACTAAAGTTATAAATGTGGTATTGAATAACTATTTGGTGATGAAAATGAGGATTTTTTGTGACAAAATGTTGCTTTATTGGTGACAAAATGTTTCATCACTAAAGTAATTTCATTGGTGATGAAATTATTTTTTGTCACGATGATTTTTAGTGACAAACTTTCAATGACGAACCCAGTGACGAAAATATTTCCTCACAAATATCTATAGTGACGAAATGAGCTCTTTGGAGACAAAAAAAAATTCGTCATCCAAGACCCAACTTGTTGTAGTGAATAATGCTATGATAGACGTCACTAAAGTCATGACTACCATAACAACTCCATATGAGATTTGTATGAGAAATTGAAGAATCTAGCATTGATAAGTTAACATGTAGACAATTGAGAAGAAGGATAAATGGTGAACCCAAGTTTTGACTTCTCTTTGTTTCTCTCTCTTTCTATATATATATCTTCTCTCTCACCGTGACCACCATCATCACCACTGTACGAGCACAGAAATAATCTTCTAGTATAATCCTGTTGATCAAGTTTGCACTCCTCCAAACGTCGTCGCTTTACTAAGTTAGCAAATAGACAATAGACACAAAAGCTCTGTGTATTCTAGAGTAAGAATTGGGATACCTGTACATAGGTCTAGTCATGAGCTTTTATAGATTCTGCCTAGCACAATCCTAGCAGAGCCCTCCTAGGAGTCTCAAGCTCAATGAAGAGTGTCTATTATAATAACACTGTTTTCCACCAACCAAGTAAGATGGTTACCTCATTTGTTTAGGCTGCTGCAACCTAACCGAGCTATATTACCTCGGTCATACACTCAAGTAATGACGTAGATAGCATTCGGCCGAGCTATACCAAGCCCGGCCTCCTTTCTCACAAATACCTGGGCTAACCACCAAGCCCACTTATTCAGGTAGCTTGGTCCAAAGTACCTTTGCCCAGCTTTCATACAACATGGGACCGATCTACTTGAAGCCCATACCTCGGCATTTAGTCCGGCCCATAACAGAGACTAAAGGATCGTAGCTCAGCCAATATTTATTTATAAATTACCCTCTCAATTGCCCCTTAATTCCATCTGCAAAGCATGATTTGGGATTATTCTTCTCCAACCGAGCTAAAACATTCAAGCCAACTGAGCTCACCTTTTACCGAGCTACCGATTTAGCCGGTCCAGAAACGTCTTGTCAGCTGCTCTGCACGTCGTTCTGCTTCCTAAGCACGTCTGAATCGTTATCTATTCCCCTGGACACGTGGCTCACTCCCATTGGTCAAGTACAACTGTCACAACCGTCGTTGTACCTCGAAAGTTTTGAACAGTCCCGCCCATTTTTGTGTTTTAAGCAAAAACCTTTCTTTTTTAACCAAACACTCCATTGTTCATCTTCTCTCAGTCTTCATGCTTCTGAGACCTGCCCCTACTTCTGTAATGCTTATTTTTTCAAATGGAATGGAATGAAACCTGTTATTTTCCAATCTTTTTGTCCGGTTCATATCCTGCTTGTGTTTGTCTTTCAACTTTAATTGGCATGTCTTGCACTTGTTTGGCCAATACAGCCATCTCGATCCTAGGAGCTTTGTAATCTGCTAACCTTGCTATGTGTTGGCACTGCTAACTTTCTTCGGCCTAGAACCTTATCTCGGCTGAAAAGAACTAAATGTTGGTCAGACCTGCCAACTTTCTTCAGCCTAGATTGTTATCTCGGCTGAAAAAGAGCTAAATGTTGGTTATTCTTGCCAACCTTTCTTTAGCCTAGATCCTTATCTCGGCTGAAGAGAGCTAAAATCTTGGTTAATCCTGCCAATCATCTTCAACCTAGATCCTTATCTTGGCTGAAGAGAGTTAAAAGCTTGGCTAATCCAGCCAATCTTCTTCAGCCCAGATCCTTATCTCGACTAAAGAGAGTTAAAAGTTTGTCTAATCCAGCCAATCTTCTTCTGCCAGATCCTTATCTCGGCTAAAGAGAGCTAAAATTTTTGGCTAATCCAGCCAATCTTCTTTAGCCAGATCCTTATCTCGGCTAAAGAAAGCTAAAAGTTTTGGCTAATCTAGCCAATCTTCTTCAGCCAGATCCTTATCTCGGCTAAAGAGAACTAAAAGTTTGGCTAATCTAGCCAATCTTCTTCAGCCTAGATCCTTATCTCGGTTGAAGAGAGCTAAAAGCTTGGCTAATCCTACCAATCTTCTTCAGCCTAGATCCTTATCTCGGCTGAAGAATAAAAAAAGTGTTGGTCAAACCTGCCAACCCTTTTTTATTGCCCTTCAGTCAGGCAAAAACTTGTTAGAAAGAGTTGGTCAATCCTGCCAACCCACTTTGCCCCCAATTAGGCAAAGATTTTTTACTTGGTTGATCCTTCTTGCCGACCATGTTAACTTTTGTTGAGGGTGTTTCGTCTGTCCTCGCTATTATGTCAGACTCTGCCTAAGTGTGAATCCCATCTTCCTCTACCAAGATGTGTTGGTGCACTCTTTCCATCAGGGCTTCCATAGTAAGAGGCGGCGTCATTGTCATTGAACCTCTCAACCTATGACCCACTGGCAGACCTTGCTTGTACTGTACAATAGCTAGGTTTATGGAGCAATCTCCAATCTGATTAAAAGTCTCTCAATACCGATTATTGTAAGACTTCAATGTTTCCTTCTCATCCATATCTATGGAGAGTAGCTGGTCAATCTCCACCGGTGTCTTGGTGTTTGTTCTGAATCTGGTTACAAATGCTTCTGCTAGTTGCACCTATAAAGCTATGCTACATTCTAGCAACCTTTCAAACCATGTTAGACCCAAGTCACCAAGGTTGGAAAGGAATAGGATACACATTAGAGCCTCATTTCGCTGATACACCGCCATGACCGGGCGAAAGTGGCTCAAGTGCATGCAGGGGTCTGACTTCCCCTCATAAGTTGTGAATTTAGGCTGATGGAAGCCTAAGGGTAATGGTGCGTTCTCAATTGCCAGAATGAACGGCGAGCTTTGTAGCCTTGCTAACACTTTGTCTACTGGTTCGTAAGCAAGGGGTGGCATTAGCATTCCTACCTCGACACTTCCATGTGTACTAGGGACCAATCGTTGTAGGGCTGAAACCCTACGAGGGTCATGAGCCCTGCAGTCTTCCTTCCATCGGGCCCTCTCCTCTAGCACTGTTCGCAGGTCTGCTGACCTTGGCAACTCTGTATGTCTAGATGTCGTTTGGTGCGTGTGCGAGGGTCGATAGCTGCTTCCCTCCGTATACAACCTTTCAATCCTCGTTCTCTCAGACCTGGAGAAACGAGTCCTGGAAGTCCTTGATTGAGTGTCACCTGTCCTTAGGCTTTTACTTTCAGCTTGGGATGGCGTGGCTTGTCTGCCACCATCTTCTAAATAGTAAGAGGGTGTGTTGCCTTTGTGCCCCTCTTTTGTCGCCACCCCTTTGCCTTTTGTCTAGTGCTTCATCGTCTCTATGTCCTCCACCATCCTTTG